GGGGGGGGGAGTGAAAAAAAGCCAATCAAAGAATGACTAAAATGACCCCCTCTGCTAGTCCCCGTTCCTCTCTTGTCCCGCACCAGCAACCCCTCGGCCCCTCCTCTCCTCAAGCTCACCTTGGCAGCACTTGCGATGTCCACAGCCTCCACGATGTCGGTTTGTAGTATCTTTGCTGTGTCTTCCCCATCTTCTCCTTCCAGAAACCTGAAAGGCCCCAATTAGGACTACAGTGAAGCTTCCCACCATAGGAGAAAAAGTCCCATAGAGATGGGGTGCGGCAGGCCCAGATCTGGTCCACGCACCCGGGCTCCTCGGCCAGCAGCAGCTCCGAACGTGCAGCTCTGGCGCTCGCCTCTTCCTCCTGCGCTTCCGCGGCCTCAAGTTTGCTTCGGGTTTTCCTCTTTGCACGCGGGAGCTAGCGCAGGGTCACAAGGGTGGGAAGACACGGGGGTCACGTGGGTCACAGCAGCCCTCCCGGCCCCCAGACCTTCCCACCCGCCAGCTGGTCCTCACCTTCTCGGATCTGTCAATGCGACAGAATTTCCGGGCAGCATCCACCCGGGCGGGCGCGGGGCCTGGGAATGGGTCCTGGGCCTGGCAAGGAACAGGGAGAGGCCGTAAGCAGGCTGAGCTCGTCGGCCGGGGCCGGGACCCTCTCGAGTCCCAGGCTCACCCCAGACAAGGTCTGCTCCGGCTTCCTCCGTTGCGCGGCCTTCCGGCCCCCGGGCTTCCGCTGGTTCCGCGGCTTGGGGCCGTTCGCGCTTTTCCGCCTCGTGGGGCCGGGCTCCAGGGTCCTGGTCTTCTTCCGAGGCGGCCCCGCGGCTGGCGAGGTGGCCTCCTCCTCCCAGTACCGCCGCGGTTTCTAGGGGCAGAGGAGAAGCCTAGCACTCGCCACCCTAACCGGGCCAAGCCCGGCCTACGACTCCCACCCAGGCCTCTAACCTTTCTCATGGCTGGAAGCCTGCCCTTCTTCGGCGGGACACTCCCACCGGGCTTGGGGGCCGTCTCCATCACAGCCACCCAACGCTCCACGTGCAGATCTCCTTTCAGCCTACTCACGGACCTCTTGGAAACTTCCGGAAGTCCTCCGGCCTTCATCCAATCAGCGCCCTATCGGGTCTGAAGCCTCTGCCGCCATCTTGCGTGAGGTCACGTCTCTTTGTGCGGCCGGGCAGTGTCGCCAGAGGTGCAGCCCAGGACCTCGAGACGAATAAAAGCCGAGTCGAGGCCCAGGATCCCGGTAGCAAATCGTACTGTTTTTTCTATGCTAACGTCTTTAACTTGCTAAAACCTCTCGAGTCGCGTCTTCGGAACGCGTCTCACGATCAGAACTCCATTTCCCGGCGTGCCTCAGAAGGAAGCGTCGGGTGCCGTTCTTTCCCAGCATTCGTGGTTTATTTCCGGGTTCGTTAATACAGAGGGAAGAACGTGAGCAGGTTAAGGTTTGGGGTCTCGTTTCGATCTCCGTTCCCTAAGGAGGGGAGAGTGGATATTCTGGACGAGGATCGCCGCGGGGCCCCCAAAGAGCTGCCCATCGAAAGCACCGTCATTTCGGGAGGGCCAGAGGAAGGGGAGCTCAGGTGCCTGCCGGAGCTTGAGACCCGGCGCCCCCCACTCCCGGTAGGCTTCCACCCTCGCCATGGCCGAACTGATCCAAAAGAAGCTGCAAGGCGAAGTGGAGAAATACCAACAGCTGCAGAAAGGTAAGGGCGCGGAGCTGATGGGACCTCGTCCCATCCGCCCGCCACCCAGAGCCATACCATGCTAAGGTCCCTGCCCCATCCGGGCCCCCGCCTCGGTATGCTTTCCTACCTGCTGACCACCACCTCCTCACCACCGTTCTATGGGGGACTCTGCGGTCCACTTGGTGTTTCTAATAATGGCTGTCTTTCACCCTTCCCGACCCAGACTTGAGTAAATCCATGTCAGGGAGGCAGAAGCTTGAGGCGCAACTAACAGAAAACAATATCGTCAAAGAGGTGAGGGACTGGGACTTTGGAAGCAAGGAGGGATTCGAACTGGGTACGGTTGTCTCAAATGTTCCATCCCCTCTTCAGGAACTGGCCTTGCTGGATGGATCCAACGTGGTCTTCAAACTTCTGGGTCCCGTGCTCGTCAAACAGGAGCTGGGGGAGGCTCGAGCCACAGTGGGGAAGAGGCTAGACTACATCACAGCTGAGATGTAAGTCCACCACCCTGGGCTGTGAGAAGTGTTGAACCTGTACAGGGTAGCTCTCCACAGTAGACCCATCTGTCCATTTTCCGAGTCCTTTTTATAAAAAATTACATTTATTTATTTGTTTGAGTGTGTATGTGGTGGGGGGCGTTGGGAGAGAGGCTTGTGCCATGGCACTCATGTGGAAGTCAAGAGGGACAGCCTTCAGGAATCTGTTCCACTTTGAGTCCCAGGGATCCAACTGCAGTAGGCAGGCTTGGAGGCAAGCACTCTGCTCACTGAGCCATCTCACTGGCCCTTTGTCCTCTCTATTCCTTAGATCTCAGGTTTCCCCAATCTCCTTTTGCCCCTCAGTAATAAGCCCCACTAATTCTCTCTTCTGTTCGTCTCATCAGTAAACGATATGAATCCCAGCTTCGGGACCTTGAGAAGCAGTCAGAGCAACAGAGGGAAACCCTGGCTCAGCTGCAGCAGGAGTTCCAGCGGGCCCAGGCAGCAAAGGCAGGGGCTCCTGGGAAGGCCTGACCCCATGGGGGTGGGGGGTGAGGCAGCTCTAGGGTCTATACTATAGTAGTTAATAAAATGTAAAAAAAGAAAAACCCAAGGTTGTTTCCTGCCCAGCCCTTACTTCAGAATTGTTTGTTTTTCTTGCCCTGGCTCCTTTCTTCTGTACCACCCACATCCCTTAAAGCCCACGTTCTTTTAACTGGAATCTCTTCAGAGTGTTTTGATGTTTTGTCTGTTCTCCATTGTTGAGGACTGAATTGGGGTCTTCCCCATGTGCCTTCCTGAAACTAAAGTTCAAAATACTTCAAACCTGTTTGCTGCCTATACATAAAACTCTTTGGCTTTCTCTATGTTGCTTGGCATGACCCTTTAAAAAACATGACTAGCCTGGCATGGTAGCCCACGCCTTTAATCCCAGAACTCTGGAGGCAGAGGCACTTGGATCTCTGTGAGTTTGAGGTCAGCCTGGTCTACATAGTTCCAGAACAACTAGGACTAGAGAGACCCTGTCTCCAAAAAAGAAAGAAAGAAACATGAGTAAGGGGCTGGAGAGACAGCTCATCAGTTGAGAGCACTAGCTGCTCTTACAGAGGACCCAGGTTTCTGTTCCCAGCACCCATATGGTGACTAACTCTCCATAACTGCAGTTCCAGGGGATCTGACGCTCTTCTGGCCTCCATAGGTAATTGCACACACATTATACACTTATGTGCAACAAAACACTCATAAATTTAAAAATTAAAAAAACATGATTAAAAAAAAACATGAGGGAGCTGGATAGATTGCTCAGTGATCAAGAGCACTGGGCTGTTCTTGCAGAGGACCCAAGTTCGAGTCCCAGCACCCACATGGCAGCTACCATCATAGTTCCAGTTCTAGGGGATCTGACACCCTCTTCTGACCTCCATGAGTATTGCACAACAGGGGTGTATCCACCCACGTGCAGGTAATATACACATAAAAATAAAATATTAACATGAGTGTGGCATTTGCAGAACAGCATATTGTTGAGAATGTCAGTTTAAGTACTTGGTTCTGAGCTGGGCATGGTGGCTCACACCTTTAATCTCAGCACTTAGGAGGCAGAGGCAGGGGATCTCCATGAGTTCAAGGTGGGCCTGGTCTACAGTGAGTTCCAGGACAGCTGGAGTTACAGGGAGACCCTGTCTCAATAAAAAAACAAAAAAGATGAGATGTGATGACTCACTATAACTTTCCAAATAGTCCTGAAACCTTAGTTTTTCTTAGCCTCTTGTCTTCCTAGAATTTGAATATAGATGTAACAGATTTGTTTTTTGTTTGTTTTGTTTGAGACAGGGTCTAACTATGTACTGACCCTGGCTGACCTGGAACTCACTGTGTAGATCAGGCTGGCCTCTTAACTCTCTGAGCTACACCTGCCTCTGCTGGGACTGAAGGCATGTGTCACCATGCCCAGCCTAATTCAACTGGAAATCCTTTCCAAATTTGTATGTGTGGTCCACAAAGTTGTTTATTTCTTTGCCTAACATTGTTTCTCACAAGTTTGCCTCCAGAACAGTTCTTCAGAGTGATTGCTACTGTGACTTAGGGGCTTATGACAAGTGAGAAAAATTAATAAAGGGGCAGGAGTGAAGGGGTCACTGGGGAGAAACAAAATGTTCTGGTGAAACTTTAACTGCTACCTTGCTCTCAGCTCCAGGGATAGAGCCTAGGGCCTCGTGCACCCTAGGTAAGTGCCCACCACCAAGCTGCAGCCCAGCTGTCATGGTAGTAAGAAACACTGCCCCTTCTACATCCAACCCACCCTCCCTTCTCAGCCAGTTTCTACACACCAAGGATGGGCAGAATTCAGGTAGTGTTTTGGTTTATTACCTTAGTGTTGTCACAGTGACAAGAGCCCCCAGAGTGGGAAAAGAAACTCCCCATAGAACCTTCTTGCCAGTCCCCTCTGCCCTGGGGCTCTGAGCCTCTGGGCCTTTCCTCCCAACCCCCTTTCCAGGCCCTTCCTTGGCCCTTCCCAGGCTAGGATGTGGCAGGAACTGGTACTTGTTTCCAGCTAACAAGCACTGACTGCCACGCTTCCACCCTGGGTGGAAGCATATCCAACTTGGTTCTATTATCACCAGCTTGGGGCGGGGGGCCGCTGGCTTTCTCTGTGGTTCAGTAAACAAATGGCACCCCACTGCCCCAGGGTGGCTGGCCACCTCAGGATTTCTGTCCCAATGTAATGTAATGGCTGCCTACACCTGGTGTGAACGCCATGATTTCTGTAAACCAACAGGACTTTGTCCTCAGAACAGTGCCCTGGCAATCTTCCTCCCTGTGGCCTTGATCCTGGGAAAGGAACCCCCACCCCCCTCACTTGGGGGAGTTCCTGAGGCAGAAGCACCGCTATGGGAGCCGGGTGTGGTGGCAGAGGGCCTTCTCCGCTGCCGAAGGAGGAAATCGTGGGACGCACCATCCATGGCGTAGAAGACGTTAGCCGAGGGTGGAATGGTCAGCTCTACGGGGTTTAGAGATGGGTATCAGGCACTCAGTCCCCCACGTGTCAGATGCAGGGCCACTCCCTAGAGTCTGGCCTCTCACCTCGCTCCCCAGGCAGCAGCTGAACCAGCTCAAACTCTGAAGCCACTGCAAAATCTCGATTGTTTTTCTTAAGAACACGACTAATGACACTTGGGGCCTTGTCCTGGCTTGTCACCTGGCAGAAGAGACTGACAGCAATGAGTCCACCATAATGACCTGTTCCATATGTCCAACCAGAAAAGGTTACCCGTGCCCAACGCTTTAAAATGAACAGGAAACACTACAGTGGCTCCCAGTACCCCATAAGTCAGCCCATAGAGTGCCCAGTGAAACGGCTGCTTCCCTATGGGAACACTATTCCAAAAGTTATGAAGCCCCCCCAAACTCAAGGTGCAGCTGCTGGTGCAGAGAGGCTATAAACATCAAACAACTGCTCAGTCAGACCTAAACTATAATCAAGTTCTTTTGGCTGCCCAAACCTAACACAACACTCCTGTCCTGTAAGGCAAGGTGCCCCACCCCCAAACCAGGTCCTAGGGCCCCTCACCAAGATGCTCTTGTAGACACTGCCATCTTCCCCCAGCTCCATCTGGACTCGGATGATTCGGCAATCAGAGGACCCTGGTCCAGGTCCTCCTCCCCCATATCCAGTAGCCCTGGAGACCCCCTCTCCTGTGCCTCCTCCACTCAATGGGGAGCCGCAGGAGGCTGAGCGGCGGTGACCTCGAGAAGGCCTTGGGGAGGAGGCTGGTGGGGAGAGGTGGCTGGGGTCAGCAGGACTGTGCAGAGAGGGGCTGCTTTCCAAGGCAGAGTCCAGAGATGAGACAGATGGCCACTTCATGTGCTAGGGGCAAACACAGGTGTGGTCATGGAGGCAGAGAGGCAAAGAGAATGGCTGGGTCATGTGCAGTCGAGAGCAGGCTCACCTGGGCCAGCCGCGTCAGCAGAGGAGCAGGGGTTCCAGGCACCTCCTCTCCCCCAACACTGGGCCGGTCCCAGGACACAAGAGGGGTGGGGCCCCCAACAGAGCTCAGAACCCTGGAGAGGCAGGAAATTAAAAGGGAGGGTGGCAAGTCCCCACGAAACCCACCTCCCAACCAGTGACTCGCTCACTCTGTCCACTGCGAGATGACTAGTGTTGGCCGAAGTGTCCTTGGGGCAGGAGAGTCACTGGTACCAGGTGGCTCCACTTCACAAGACACATGGTGACTGGGTAGGAGAGCAACAGGCAGAGGTCAAGACATGCCAACAACACCCACACCGACCAGATTCCTAGAACCCAACTTCACCTAGCCAGGTACCTCTGAGCTTCGGTCAGCGGCCGGAGGCCCTGGAGCCATTGCTGGATATCAGAGTCTGGCCGGATGTCATAGCCACGACATTCATCCTGCAGCCGCAGCAGCTCAGAAAGGACAGCAAACTCCTGGGAAAGAGCCCTCAAATGCAGAAGCCAAAACTTGCCCCCCCCCACCCTGAACGACTTTGCCCCCTTCTTCCCCTTCCTGAGGCGTGGACAGGGATGCCCCAGATGCAGCCCTGCATCCTCACCTTCCTCCGCTTGTCAAAATTAATGTAGCCATTCTGAAAGGACAGTGGAGAGGAGTCAAAGTCCTAAGCCCGCCTGGGGCACCAGAAATAACAGCCCCTCTTCTAAACACACCATCGCAGCCGACTGAGACCATCCCAGACCTGGGGCTGCCATCCCGCTTCCTCCCACTCACATCTCTCAGGCCATCTCAGTAGAAAACATCTCTATAAATGAAGAAATGGGGCTCACAGAGGACATGAACTTACTGGAGGCCTCAGGACTTGTTTTGTTGTATGCAGTACTGGGGTGGAACCCTGGGCCTTGTGTGCATTGGGGAGGCACTCACCACTGAGCTATATACCCCAGCCCCTCAGTATCTGCATAGTTAACCAACCATATATGTCAATATTTCAGACGAGGTCTAGGCACTTGACAAATAAGGATCCATTTATTCCTCACAGGCTGAGGTACACTGTCAGACCTACATTGACAGTCCACGGAGGCACAAAAAGATTGTACCTGCTGGCCATGGTAACAGAATCTGGCCCCAGAAACTTCATCCAGCTGTTTCTGCCTTGTGGCATCTTTTTGAAAGGGTTCTACCTGACCCTGAGATGCACTTGTTAAGCCATCACAGCACAACCACACACACACACACACACACACACACACACAAACACACACTGACCTCCAGCTCATCCTTAGAGGCGGCATCCAGCATCACAAGGTCCTTCAGGAAGGTTCCAAGGTACGGAACCACACCCTGTGGGCAGAGACCAAGATCAGACCCCTGTTAGGCATGTGAGACCCTCTAGCCCTTCACACTTTCCCTCCACGATTGTCTTCATTCTCCACAGGTAAGCCTCCCCTTCCCAGCCCCACTGGTCACTCACCCCACCCCTGGTGCCAGACCTTGGGGGCTTCTTGGAGTGAGGCTCCACGGGGGGCTGCAGCTTCACTTCCTGGTGGTGATAACACAAGGTGATGGGGAAGGCAGGGAGCAGGCACTGGGAAGGGGAGGGAAACCAGGGACTGACCTCACCTGCATGAGCAGCTCTCGGCTCTGGGAATAATTATCCTCCTCTGAGAAAATGTGGCACAGGCTGGAAAAGACTCTGAGGCTGTCCCTGGGGAGGGAGAACAGTGGCCTTGAGCACACACCTGGCTCAGCTCCCCACCCCAGGCCTCAGCAGTGCCGTCTTCCCACCTGGCTGCTTCCCCCCAGGCTGCCCGGAGCCTGTGGATGGGACTGGACTGCAGGGCCGACACAACAGCATAGACTGAAGAGAAGTTCCGGAGCAGACGGCACTCCTATGGGGGTCAAGAATGATGTCAGGGCTGAAGGAGCCCTCTCCATCATGGTCTCAGAGGATGATGTTGGCTGGGGACCTCCAGGTCCCCAGAGGCAAAGTTCTCCCTCACCTCTGCCACTCGGATCCACTTTTCCAGGAGCCGGGCCCTCTGTGGGGGTCGTAGTGGCCGTACGGTCACCTCCCCTGGCCCCTCTCCGACTGAGGTGGCCCCCAGGACAGAGCTGACCACCGCCCCTGCCACCTTGTTGAACTGTATGACAGTAGCTCGGACAGACGGACAGAGGTGAGAATGTCCGGGCCGGTCTCTGTGACCCCACAGGCCTCCCAAGCACTGAGAGGGGACCAGATTGAGAAACAGCTCCTGCAGGACAGAGGTCAGAGGTTAAAGTTCATAGTCAAGTGGTGAGAGTTTCCAGTATCAGGGATCTGAGGACTTGAGGTGGCCGGGGGACCAGCAGGGCACAACGCTTGAAGGGTAACAGCTAAGGGCAGGAAGGACTGGTCAGAACAGTTGTTAGAAGAGGCTAGGAACTGGACCAGGAGGGGTGGAAGCAAGAAAAGGATCTGGAGTTAAGGCGAGGTTAGTAAGGGGTCAGGGGGCATGGGGTCAAAGGTCAGGGTCTCACCGCATCTAGCAAGGTCAGCTGTTCGGCCAAGTGGTCAGCGAGGAACACCAGGACATCCGTGGGGTCAGCAGGGGAATCGCCAGGGAGGGCCAGGGGCTTGGGAAGGTCAGGGGCCTGGGGGTCCACCTGGGCCCGGAGGTTGCGGATGAGGTCAGCGCTGCCCCCCCCAACACCCTCCCGTGCTGCATACCCTGTCCGAAGCAAGAAGCTCTCAAGCCGGTCAAGCTGACCCTTGACCTCAGAGCCAAAATCCTCAGGGTGAGAGGTCAGCCAGGTTGACAGTACAGAGATGGCTACCCTGGGAGAAGGGGAACCAGCCACTGGTCAGAGGTCAGGCTGCAGCTTGGGCAGAAGGGACCAAGGTTGAGGTGGGGGGCACTCACCCTGTGGTCCTCTCTAGCTCACCAGGAGGATTTGATTCCAGAGCTTCCAGCCTGAGGACAGGGAAGAGGATCTATCTACCTGTATACCTGTGCATCTTTTCCAGCCCCCGTCCCCAGGGGGTACGGCACTGAATGCTTCGGAGGCACAGTGCAACTTTCAGGAAGTCCAGGAGCCTCTACAACCCTTAGTCTTTTCTGACCCTGACCTGTCAGCCACAAGTCCAAGCAGCACAGGTGTGGAGGTGAAGGCCCGGTGGGTGGCCAGCAAGGCTGGAGTGAAGGTCATGTCAGTCCCTGATGTCCCAGCATCCAGCAGGTGTCTGACCAGAGCCTCCAGTGTGCCAGCTCGGAGCCGTCGGGAGGAACGAGGGGGAGGCATGGGGGCCTGGAAGACAAGAAGGGTGGGTCAGGGACTTCCTTGGCCCTGCTGCAAGGTATCTGGGATAATCGCATTTTGCCAAGGTTCAGAGGACAAAGCACTCAGCCTAAGTCACACAGCACAGAGTCCTGGACTCAACCCTGTGCTCTGGCCAAAAAATCAGAAAAAGAACTGGGAGGTGTGGGGTCAGAGGTTAGAAGTCAAAGCCATGATCTCACCAAAGGATCAAGAGGCTGATACTGACGACTTGTGACAGTAAAGGTGGCACCATCCTCCTCCTCATCCCAGACAGACACAGGAGCCTGGAGGAGCAATGAAGGGAAGTCAGTTCCACCGCACCACCTACTGTCCCCAGCCATCTCACCCCAGGCCCTGCTGCACCTCCTGTACCGCTCACCTGTGATGGCAGGGGACAGTACCAGCGAGTACGAGGGGTACGGGGTGCTGGTGACCCCAGGTCTCCCACGTTGGGGCCCAGACAGCCCCCCCCAGCCCCCTCAGAGCTCGGTGGAGACGAGGGGGTTTCGACTGAATGCAAGACCCCTTCTTGAGACTCCCGAGTCCCCTTTCCCCTAGAGCTGAGCCCAACACGGAAGAAACGCGGGGTGCAAAGGGCAGGAACGGGAAACCAGAGGAGGCACAAAGCTAAAAGGAGAGACCTTGAGAGGCTGAAACTTCAGGCAGTCACATGCCCCTCCCTCCCCATCAGAACCCGAGAAGCCCAAAGTTAGTCCTTCCCTTCGGCTCCCTGCCCCCCAACTCCCCCAGAGCGGCTTCAGTGTATCTCAGCCCTAGGGACCCCCAGAAGCTGGCTGCTCCAATCCCAGTTACAGGAAGGAGAAGGGGAAGTGGGGATGATGGCGGGGGGGTGGGGGTGGGGGGGGTGGAAATAGACTCAAAGAGTCACGTGGCCCTAGCCCCTCCCCCAACCATCCCGAAAAACCAGCCTTACCAGTCACCCTAACTTTACCCGAAGTCTGGACCCAGGAGTCCTGAGCCTCTGGGCCCTGAATGTAACTTCTGGCCCCTCCTGAGGTCCCAAATCCTGCCCCTGGCCACTACCATTGACCACAGTTCACCTAGCCTGGGAACATCCCTCCAGGTGGCAAAACCTTGGTTTGCTGCCATCTATCCAGCACCAGGGGGTGGGGGTGGAGGATGACGAAATCTGAGGGCTCCCTCCCCAATCCCAGAGTCAAAGGAGCTGGTTACTGTGGAAACAAACCCCTCCCCGTCAAACAAAAACAAGGAGGGAGACAGGGACCCAGAAACGACTGCCCAGAGGCAGGCAGTGTGAGAGATGCAGAGAAGGCCCTAGTTCGCAGACATCGCCAGCTAACCGGCGGTTGCAGGCAGGAACTGGGCAGGTTCCTGAGGGCTGGTCCTGAGTCACCCCTAGGACGCCAGGACCGCGCAGCTGGGGAACCCCGCAGCTGGGGGGCAGGCAAACACCCTGCGACAGGCGCAGATGTGGGGCAGGAAGAGACGAAGGGAGCCTTGGAAACATGGGTGCCCCTGTCTCCCACCACCCAAGTCTCACCTCTTCTTCTTCCTCCTCCTCTTCCTCTTGCCCCCCGCCCACGGCCCGGCCACCTGGGTCCCCACCCTCTTCGGGGTCTCGGCTCCGGAAGCTGCTCAGCACGACTCCCCCGGGGGGGCTCGTGTCCAAAAGCAGCCGCAGGGGCCGCGGGAGCATGGCCGGGTGAAGGAATCAGCGGGGTCGGGCCATGGGGGCGCCTGGGGAGAGACGGGTGGGTGGGGGGTGGACAGTCAGGCATGGGGTGCGGGGCGTGGGGGAGCCGGGCAGGGAGGGGACGCGGGTAGGGGGGTGTCCTGCAGGAAGGCTGGGGGAAGGGCGACACGAGGCTGAGAAATCGGGGCCCTGGGTCCAAGTTAGGAGGGAGGGGGGGTCACGAGTACGGATTGGGCAGGGTCACCCGGTGCTCTGGCTCTGACCTGCTCGGGAGGGGGCAGCGCGTGGGTCCCGGGCCGCTGTTCCTGTCGGTCTCTGGCCCCCGACCGAGTCCCCTCCCTGGCTTTTCCGCACACCACCCCCCCAGCACCCCGCCGGGCTCCCGGGCCCTCCCGCCCTTTCCGCTCCCCCCCGCGTCCGCCCGCTTCGAGAGCGGGAGCCAGAAAGGGAAGGAAGTGAGGACAGGAGCCAGGGCCGTGGACTCGAGGAACGCTGGACGCCGGGGACTGGGGCCCAGGGGCCGGGTCACCCCTCCACTGCCCCCTGCGACCCTACCGGCGGCTTCTGAAGCCCCAGTCGCCTAGCACTGAGTGGAGAACCGAAACCCTGGCTCCCAGCTCTGGGGGAAGACGAGCAGAATCGAAGTCCTTTCCCCCTACGAAAACCGGGCTGCGACTTCCGCAGAAAGCGCTTTACTCGGGGCGGGACCCCGTTACTGCAGCCTGCGGGCCACACTGCCCACGCCAGCGCGTGAGTGTGGTGCCACATGTCCGCTCCGGGTTTTCTGAGCAGCCCTCGCATCCGCCCTGTCTCTGCGAGGAGGGACCGGAAGCCGCCGAGTCCTGTTCCAAATTGGCGCCGGGGAGGCTTCCGGCCCTCGCGGTTCCGTTACGGGCGTCTCCGGTACCTCTGTGCGCCCTGTTGCGCTCTGCTCCCTGGGTGTTAAGGTGTCTCCGGGGCATCTGGGAGGACTAGGAGGTTCGCAGTGCTTGGGAAGAGGGCAGAATGACAGACCAGGTTAGACCAGGTTGGAGATTCAGAATCACTTTATTGGCACAGGGTAGGCCGTAAGCGCCGCCGCCGCCGCTTCGTTCCTCCAAGCCACCCGGCGGGGAACAGTGGAGAGCACACTAGATGGTTCCGGCCAGGGAGGGGAGATGGACGATTTGCACATTTAAGGGGGAGGGCAAGGGCGGACCAGGCAGAGGGAACGGAGCGATTGGTTCACTGGAGAAAAGGAATGGCTGGCGTTTGAGAGGAGGGCTGGGCGCCAGATAGGGCTGGAGTCCACTCTGGGAGACAAGGAGGCTGGGGCAAGGTTTAGCTCCTGAGCACCGGCTCTCAACGTGTGCTCTGTCCCAGGGGTCCCCAAGACTTGAAGATGGTACCTCGTTCCTTCTCCGTTAGTCATTCAAAAGTATGCAGTGGAGCAGCCCAGAAACCCAGTGGTGTGCATTGACCCTGAGCCCTCAGTGAGCACAGTGTGCTTGTGTTATTTTTTTCCCTCTTCTTGTTTTACTTTTTGTTTTAGAAAAGGTCTCACTGTGTAACTCTGGCTGGCCTGGAACTCAGAGATACACCTGCCTCTACCTCCCGGGATTAATGGCGTTCACACCCTTCCCCCAGCTTTTTTCCCTTTTTCAACTTTAGTAAAATAAATACGAGTAGCTGAAATCTACATAACAAAAAACTCTTTGGGCTTTATGATAATTTTTAAACGGTCTTGAGAGCCATTGCCTGAGAGCTTTCAGAGTGCCAGATTTGGCTTAAAAAAAATAATAACCCCAGCCCCTCAATGGAGGGAGTGGGAGAAGATGAGAAAGGTGCTGTTTGGGGTGTTCCTGCAGTCATTTGGAACAAAGATCACAGTGGCGGCCACAGAATGCTGGTGAGTGCCTTCACTGTGCTTTCTGGAAGAGAAAAAGGAAGTAAGGGATTGGGGGTGTTAGCAGTTGAGAGTCGCTCCTGGTTAATCTAATTACAGAGGGTGGAATGAGGAGGGGCTAGTGTTTCCTGCCTGCTTGAGATGTGTGCATGGTATTACAAAAGCACCTGCTTATGAAGGATGTACAGTAGAAAAGGACTTGTTTTGTTTTGTTGCCACAGATCAAACCAGAAGGCCTTGCTGTGCTAGGAAAACACTGCCACCACTGAGCTGTAATCCTAGCCTTGTAATTTTTTGTTTTTGATGTAGTCCCAGCATTGGGGAGGCCTTTGCCTCCACACCTAGTGCCACCACAGCCGGCTGCACTTTCTTATATTGTTTATGTGTTTAAATATTTTGGACACATATGATTTGAGACAGTGTGTTACACGGGGGTCCCCTTGGCCACTGTTGATTCATGAGTGCTTCCTCCTCAATAGTCCCTTTGGCCATTGCCCAATCCCCTCCTTTGGTGGAACCCTACTTTATTCTGTAACAAACTCTGCCTGTCTTCTTCATTAAGAAAAAAATAAGGCTGGCAATATGGCTCAGTAGGTAAAAGCTCTTGCAGGTAGGTGAGCTGGATCCCCAGATCCCACAAAGTAGCAGAAAATTGATTCCCAAGTGTTGTCCTCTAATATCAACCCCCACACGGGTAGTGGCATGTCTATATTTCACACACATGCACAAAATAAATAGAATTTTTTTTAAAAAGGAGGAAAGATGGGCAGTGAGGTGGTTCAGTGAGTGGGTAAAGGGTTACCATGCCAGTGTGCCAGGCTGAGATTGAACCTCAGACCCCACATGATGAAAGGGGAGAGAACTGACTCCTGCAGGTTCTCCTAAGAAAGATACAGTGGGGCATGGTGGCCTGTGCCATTAATCCCAGCAATCGGGAGGCAGAGGCAGGCAGATCTCTGTGAGATTGAAGCCAGCCTGGTCGACATAGTGAGTTCCACACCAGTTGGGACTAAAGAGAGACCCTGTCTCAAAAAGACAAGAAAGAAAAACAGCTGAATGTGGAGCACAGGTCTATAATCTGAGCACTGGGAGGTGGAGACAGGAAGATATTCAAGGTCCAGCTGTTGAGGGCACTTCCTCCTCTTGTAGAGGACCCTGGTTTAGTTCCCAGCACCCACTGGGCAGCTCAAAATTGTAACTCCAGTTCCGAGGGGTCTGAGGCCCTCTTCTGCATTTGGTGGGTATTGCACGTGCATGGTATACATAATATGTAGGCAAACATTCATACATAAAGTCTTCAGGGGCTGGAGAGATGGCTCAGCGGTTAAGAACACTGGCTGTTCTTGCAGAAGACCCGGGTTCAAATCCCAGCACCCACATGGCAGCTAACAACTGTCCATAACTCCAGTCCCAGGGGATCTGCCAGCCTCTTCTGACTTCCACAAGCATTGCACAACACGGGTGCACTTACCTACATGCAGGCAATATATACATATACATAAAATAATACATAAAATATTTTTTTAAAAAGTCTTAAGCCGGGCATGGTGGCACATGCCTTTAATCCCAGCACTTGGGAGGCAGAGACAGGCAGATCTCTGTGAGTTCAAGGCCAGCTTGGTCTACATAGGGAGTTCCAGGATAGCTGGGGCTACAAGGAGACCCTGTCTCAAAAAGACAAAAAAAAAAAAAAAAAAAAAAAAAAAAAAAAAGTCTTCAAAAAAAAACAGGCATGGTGGCTAATGCCTTTAATCCCAGCACTCAGGAGGTAGAGGCAGGTGGATCTTTGAGTTCAAGGCCACTCAGGGATACATAGTATCCCTGCCTTTCCTGTCTCAAAGAAAAAAGAGGTCACAAGGTGATTCCCTCCCGCATCTCAAAAAGCAAAAGTGTATTGTTAGATTTTGCCTTTCACTTTACTTTTGGTTCCCCATGAGCCAAGGTCTAATAGAGCCCAAGGCTGGCCTGGAACTCAGGTAGTCTCCTGCCTCAGCCTCTGGACTGTGACTTAAGCACAGCCAACACACCTAGCTTCTTGTTTTCTTTAATATGCCTACTACGTTATTTCATTTTAAATGTTTGACTTACATAATCCCTCTATTGAACAGCACTGCCTGTGTAATTTTTTTTTAAATCCCTACACCCAAGGAATCAGATCCAGTGTCTAGTTGAGCTACGGTTAGGATGAAGGGCAGGATTTAACCCACTTCTGTGCGAAGTCTCGGTCTGGGACTGCGCCGTACCAGCAGCCAACCTCCCAAGTTGGAGGAGAGATGATGAGGACAAGGGAAAGGCAAAGCGAGGTGGAGTGTGATTACCTTCTCTGAATCCTCTTGGGTGGCCAGGCCCTCAGCCATCAGCTTCTTCTTTGAGTTTTTGGGAATGGTCAGGTAGGCAGCTGTGGGAAAGATGGAGGGGTGGGATGTAGGAGTTAAGAGGATGGATGTTGGGCTTCAGAGAGTAGGTAGGAAATGTCCGTAGGGGTAGGGTTCACACTTACCCATCCAGCCTAGCACCTTGATGAGTCCAAGGAGGAGAAAGGCAGACAGGAACAGGCCTATGCCATCCTCAATTGAGGGCCCGGAGAGGCCTAGCCAGTGAAAGGGCTGCAAGTGAGCTTGGTGTTAGAATTCTGAGGGTCCACCCTGGCACCAAAGCTCTCCCAGCAGTTACCTGCCACCTCCAGGGTGACTTCAGCACTGCGCCCCGATGCTGGCAGGCTGGGGTGGTGGACACGGCAGGCATAGCGTGCTCCATGCTGTTCAGCAGTAACTGGGGTTGGCTGCAGGTGCCCAAAGAGGCTGACAGAGCCGTCCGAATGGTGGTGGAGGGTGGAGAGCCACTTCTGTCCTTCCGCCCTCCTAGAACCACCATCTGGGCCACCTCGGAGCTCCCACTCCACCTCCAGACCCTCCGGAGGGTAGAAATGAGACACACGACAGAGCAGCTCTGGGGGTGCCTCTCCCGGAACAGCCCACACAAGGGGTCCTGGTGTTAGAGACACTTTGGGGGGCTCTGGGGGAAGAGTAGGGAAGAAGAGTGAGGGAATCCGCCCCTTCCTTCAGCATGTCCTCTGGCTCCCCTAATACGGAAGGAGGGAGGCAATTCTGAAGATGGGGCCTACTGTCTCATTGCTATATCGCAGGAATCCCCATGTTGAAGCCCCTCAGATTTCCCTTCCAGAACCCCCATCTCTCTCCAATTACTACCTACACACCCTCTTCCCCATCATCCCTTCCTCTGCCACAATACCATAACCCCAGTACCCACCACCCCTAGATTTCTGTCCCCACTCACTGTGCACAGTGAGCTCCAGGGAGACCTGCCCTTGCAAGTATGGCAGATGTACGGTGGCCAGGTAGATGCCCTCTTGAAAGGGCCGCACTGCAGGCAGCAAAAAGGTTCCATTGCCAGTCCAGGGGCCCCAGGGCTCATTGTCATCCCAAGCAGCAAATGTCACAGACCTCTCTTGGGCTGGTGGCATCTGCCCGACCAGCCCAGGAGTCACAGCCAGGAGCAGGTGGCCCTTGCCCAGGTGCTGGCGTCGCCACTCCAGCCCAAAGGGAGGGGGACCTGGGGCCAGGGAGGTAGCATCTTCAAGGGTAGGGGGCATGTAGGCAAAGCTCAGGTCCAGCACTGCGTCTTTTCCCAGTTGGATTCGAGGAGCGGGGTTGTGGGTAAGGACAGTCAGCACCACTGTGGAAGACAGTAGGAGTCAGGGAGAAAGGAAATGGAGCTAATGGGTGGTCCAGACTTGCTTACCCACCCTTCAGAAGTTGCCTTGGTGTCTGATGCTACCGCCAAGCCCTCCCTTTACTCTGGGTGTAAGCCAATGTAGCTGAGAGTGAGCAGAGGTTTGGCAGAAACGGGGACAGTGGGATTGTAGCCTTGACATCTGTGCTCAGCACTGGCCATTTCACTTCTCCAGATGGCAGGATTTGAAAGTACTCTCTTCTCTTTTTGAGACAGGGTCTCCCTGTAGCCCCAGCTGGCCTGGAACTCACTATGTAGTCCAGGCTGGCCTCAAAACTGACAGATACTGGCCTGCCTCTGCTTCCAGAGAGTGCTGGGATTAAAGGCGTGTGTCACCACTCCTGGCTTCTTTATTTTTTTTAGTTTTAAAAATTTGTATGTGTATGAGTGTTTTGCCTACATGTATGTAAGTACACCATGTGCATGCAGGGCCCAAAGATGGCAGGGGATTCCCCCTAGAACTGGACTTACAGCTGGTTTCAAACCACCCTACTGATGCTGGAAACTAACCCCTGTCCTCTGCAAGAGCAGCCAGTGCCCTTATCTGCTGAGTCATCTCTCCAACCCCTACTCCAGGACTCTCTCTTTAAACATTTTCACTTTATGGTTTTCATGCTGGGGATCAAACCCAGGGCCTATGCATGGTAGGCTAGCACTCTACCATTTAGCCAAACCTCCAAGATACCCCTGCATATCTTTTTGTGGAGACAAATCTCATGCTGACCAAGGCTATCTTGAAACTCAGTATATAGACTGAGCTAGCCTAAAAGAACTCAGTCAGTCCTACCTCAGCCTCACAAATGGTTTTTTGTTGTTTTTTTTTTTCTTTTTTCACGGGTAGGGGGTGTTTAGGGCTATAATACTAGGGACTGAACCTAAGGCCTCACCACTACCACTGAACTAATTTTGCTGTTGAGACAGTCTCATATAGCCCTGGCCATCCTGGAATCCCTGATCCTGCTTCTGCCTCCCGAGTGCCGGGATTACAGAGATACACCACCAAACCCAATGTGCTTTTTATCTTTTTCCATGCTGAAGGTAAAGCCCAGGGCCTCACACATGGAAGACCAAGGGTCTACCATTGAACTATACCCTCAGCCCCTCCTAGTCCCTGGATCAGAAATGGAAGCTGGACGTGTTGATGGGAGCTGAACATCGTGACTCGTGTAATTTCAGCAGTTGGGAAGCTCAGGCAGGAGGGTTACCAGGGTTTCCTGAGCTACATAGTGAGTTCTGGGACAGTCAGGGCTACAAAATGAGACCTTGTCTCAATAAATAAGAGGTGATCATGATAAGAACAGTACCTACTGACTGGGGTTGTGGTAGTGGAGTCATTTCATGATGCTACCTAAGTTTGTTCAGTTCCTGGCTCTGGATAACAAGACCTCAGGAACTTAGTACATGAAGCACAGGAATTCTGCAAACCCAGAGCTGTGTACATGCTAGAAAAACACTCCACCACTAAGCTGTGCCTCTAGCCCTTTTATGTTTATCTTTAACACTGGTGAAGGGTCTTTTTTTTGAGACAGGGTCTCCCTGTAGCCCCAGCTGTCCTGGAACTCACTATGTAGACCAGGCTGGCCTTGAAACAGAGACCTGCCTGCCTCTGCCTCCCGAGTGCCGGGGTTAAAGGCATGCACCACCATGCCGGCTATATTTTTCAATTAAAATTTTTTTTCATTTTTATGTTTATGAGTGTATTGCCTACATGTATATAAGTGCACCATGTTGTACAATGCCTACTGAGGTCAAAAGAGGGCATCAGATCCACTGGAACTGAAGTTACGGATGGCTGTTAGCCACCGTGTGGTTGCTGGGAATCGAACCTGGGTCCTCTGCAAGAGCAGCCATTGCTCTTAACTGCTGAGCCATCTCTCTAGCCCCTATTTTTTTTAACTACATTTATTTGTATATATCTGTGGGTGGGTATGTACTGTGGTACACGTAGAGGTCGGAGGATAACTTCCTGGAGTCAGTTCTCTCCTATGTGGGACCCAGGGATTAAACTCAGGCCATCAGGCAAGTACCCACTCACTATACATCTGAACAGTCTGTATAACACTTTTTTTTTTTTTTCTGGAGACTGTCTCACTGTATATCCCTGGCTGGCCTGGATCTCAGAGATCCTCCTGCCTCTGCCAAGTGCTGGGATTAAAGGTGTGCGCCTCCATGTCCAGCTATGTAACAGGTTTTTTTTTTTTAAAAAAAGAGTGGTTAGAGGAGAGATGGCTGAGTGGCTAAAAGCATATACTGGTCTTGCAGAGGATCCAAATTCAATTCCCAGCACCCACACGTCAGGTGGCTCACAACCACCAGTAACTCCAGCTCTAGGGGCATCTACACTTCTGGCCTCCTCCATGGGTGCTGGTACTTGTGTACATGGACACACAAAGACACACATACACATAATTAAAAATCTGAAAATTTTTTTTAAAAATCTGAATGGTTAGAGAGCTGGAGAAATGGTCTAGCAACAGTTAAGAACTCTTCCTGAGCAGGCTTGGTGGTGCACGCCTTTAATCCCAGCACAGCACTCAGGAGGCAGAGACAGGCGGAGCTCAGAGTTCAAAGACAGCCTGGTCTACATAGTGAGTTCCAGGACAGCTGGGGCTACAGGGAGACCCTGTCTCAAAAAGCCAAAAAAAAAAAAACCCTTCCTGCTCTTCAAAAGACCCAAGTTCCTAGTATGCACACCAAGCAGCTGTCAACTGCTTGTAACTTCAGTTCCAGAGGACCAGATGCCCTTATCTGGCCTCCACTCACACCTGCACACATGTGGCATACACACAGAGACATATATATACACATAAGATAGGCTGGGGGTGGGGGTGGTGCATGCCTTTAAAATTTAGAAAGAGTGGCTGGAATCAAACACTACATACACAAAGTACGTAAGGAAGGTGCACTTGGCTATACTGTGGGTCTGTCGCTCCACAGCAGAATATGTACCTAACATGAGTGAGGCCCAGCATCGGATTCCCAAGCACCTTGGGTGTACTACTTTATTTATTTATTTATTTATTTATTTATTTATTTTGGTCTTTTTGAAACAGGGTCTCCCTGTAGCCCTGCCTGCCTCTGCCTCCCAAGTGCTGGGATTAAAGGAGTGTGCCACCATGCCTGGCACAAGTGTATTTTTTTAGATAGTATACTAATGAAATTATCCATTATTCCTACCCTAGTAAGATTCCATTTCTAATTTTATACCACCACCACCACCCCCAGGGCTGGGCCCGGTGCATGAGTTTAATCCCAACACTCAGGAAGCAGAGGCAGGCAAGTCTCTGAGTTCAAGACCAGCCTGGTCTATATAATGAGTTCAAGGCCAGCTGGGGCTACAGGGAAACCCTATCTCAAAAGCCTAAAAAAAATTAAAAAAGAAGAAATGCCCTATGATACATGTTTTGGGACAGGGTCCTGCTATGTGGCACAGGCTGGCCCAGAACTCCCTCTACAACCTAGAGTAGCTTCAAACTCCTGAGCCTCTTCCTCAGCTTCCCAGATGCTGATATTGCAGGCATGTAAATACACCTGGCCAAGGCTTTGCTATACAGTGTTATCTGGAGCTTGATGTGACAAGCCCTGACTTGCTCTTAGTGTTAATAAATATTTATTGGATCAGCGAATAAATTAACACAGTGCCTCCCTTGGCTGTCACAACAAAGGAAAGGCAGCTGGGAAGATCGTGTCTGCCTTTGACAGATGTAGGAAAGGCCCTTTCCAGAGAGGAAAGGGTATCCTCACCACCACCACCTCAGAGTAAAGACCAACAGCCCTAGGAAACGTTCCTTAGGAGGGAGGTAGTGCTCCCTACAGGGTGGACCTGGGAACTCGGAATGGGGTGCTTGCAGGATTGTCCCCCTGGTCCCTAGTGATGTAGGAAAACTTCAGCAGCTTGCTGGGAGTTAACCTGCCAATCAGTGTTTATGTAAAAACGCCAGAAACCAGGCGAAGCCAAGGATTCTGTTAACCACTGTTATCCACAGAGGGAGGCAAGAGACCCTAGATATCCAGGTCAGATCTACCCCATTTCTTCATATCTGCCCATGGACTCTTCCTACCCCAGCCCAGCAAAGTGCTGAGCCCCTGGGAACTCTAGGGGCATCTCACTTTGCAAGGAGTGGTCTTTACCAAAGAAAACGGGCTACGGCCTTTCAGCCCACTAGAGGCTACTGTTTATGGACCACAGGGGTCTCAGTCCATGCCTACGAGTCTTAGGGACGGTGCACATGCCAAAAGGCCAGAATTTTCCTTGTTTTGCTGACTGCTAGGCTGGTGTGGACTCAGGTGAAACTCAGTCTGATTTCTTGAAACAGGGTCAGCTGTAAAGGTGGGGTGCCTAGACAGCTTCAGACCTGGAAGGTGTGCAGATAAAAAAGTTCCTGCTTCAGGACTCCCTGCCCAGCACCTTTCAAGTTCCTCAGGCTCTGGTGTCTGGAACCCCCACCGTCCCACAACCCCAAGATCTCGGCCAAGCCCCGCCCCAAGCCGCAGTGGGTTTCGCTTCTGTTGGCCTAGGCGGAAAAGTGGAGATTTGGTCTAATCCACCTGCCTCGCTTTAAAAAGAAACTGAACCCACTCAGCCCCACACAGCGACCTAGATGCCTAGACTCATCCATCAGCATCTCCCTCCCCAGCTACCTGTTGCCATGGTGATGAGGATGGGCTCCCGGCGAGGCTCCGGCTGTGGCCGAAGCAGGCTGGAGAGGCTGAGGATCGAGCTGGACACGCTGACTAACAGCCAGTCTCCGTCCAGGGCCCGCGGGCAGCTCTGCTCCGGGATCAGACCCTTGGCCCAGTTCGCAGAGGCGGGGAACGGGACGAAGCGGCTCATCTCGCACTGCGGCGCCGGTGCACCGGCCGGGTACCGCTTGAAGGCGGCCAGCAGCGCGCCCGCGGGGTCTGCGGAGGACAGACAGATGCAGCTGGAGCCCCAGGAAGGGCGGGGCGGGTTTGGGAAACCTCAAATGCACAGACTACCGCAGTACCGAGGGACGTAGGGACTCGCTGGCAAAAGGGGAAACTGAGGCTCGGGGGATCACTGCGGGAACTAAAAAGGGGCCTGCTGCGGAGGCATGAAGTGCGGGCGAGTCGTGGAAGACTCACCGTCCACTTTCAAGTACAGCTGGGGGTCAAGGTCTGGCCGGGACGGCGGTTCCCCGGGGCCCTGGCGCAGCAGCAGCGTGGCGGGTTTCTTGGCCAGGCCACCCTGGCCTGCATCTTCCACGAACCAGCACTCGATTGCCGCAGGTCCCGCCAAGACGCAGGTGGCCAGGCCTTGGGTAGAGGGGCCCCAGTGAGCGGATGGTGTCCCGCCCTGTGCTCGGCGGGACCACCTCCCTCTCCTCCCCCGCGCCCCGGTCCCGGGCGAGAAGTGGGGTTCGCTCACCCAGAGCTACAGCGACGAGCAGAGGCAGGGTCTTCATGGCTCTGCGATCTTCTCCACCCAAGGCTCTTCCCCTTTCACTTTCATTTCCGTCCAATGCCAGTAGCAGGGGAACTCCCAGCTCTGGTGAGGTGAGGCGCATCCCCCGGCGAGCAGAAATCCCGGCACACTCTGTCCGGTCCTGGGCCGGCACCCCCACACCCTCCCCGTCCCGTAATCCCCCAACCTCGCAAACCTCGGCTCCCCTCCCGCCGCCGCTTCGCTAAGAACCATTACCCGCGCGCGTTCCCCCGCCAGTTTCGACAAATACAGAGGGGCTGTCGGGAAGCCAAATGAAGTGACCAATAAATATTTTAATCACTGTTAAAAAATTTAAAACCTATACTATGCGACTCACTCCGTCTCCACCCACTCGCTCATAAAAACCGAACTGGGGATCCCCATGGACGGTGTGGGGCTGTACAGAAGAAATTAGGGCGCGTCCTGCAGGAGGGGAAAGGACAGTGGTAAGACACAGAGGCCTCGTCCCACAACACAACACAGACTTCAGGCACAGACTAGCACAACCTGACCCTTGACCCTGTGAATCCGGGATGCTCAAAACGCCCTCCCCCCCATGTTGGCCCTAGTCCGTGGAGCTGGGGCTTCGGTGTACCCATCAGAGGGGAAGGAGAGGCTTAGTTCCGGGGACACGGAGGAAGGGGCTGGCGATGGTGCGACATTTGCCCACTCCAGCATATATACAAGTCCGTAGAGATAAAGGAAGACAGTGTGGTGGGCACCCTCGGGGGGTCATGGTGCCCCGGGACTGAGCGCCCCATTCCCCCTACACCCAAGGACCCCAGCTGCCTGCCCTTCAGTGCGCGCCTCCGCTCCCACCGAAATCCATCTCCACCTTGTGCACGCTGACTGGGGACCACACCGGTCTACAGGCTGGGGGCGTGGACCCTCGCGTCTCATCGCCACTGCCCCCACCCGCCCCGGAAGACTCTCTTTTGGGCTGCAAAGTAGGCCCACTAGGTGCCGCGGGTCCGGGTCCGGGTCCGGGTCCGGGTCCGGCCGCACCCAGGCGGTGCCGACGCTCACAGTGTCCGCGATGACGCATGAAGCTGTCACGCCACATGAACTTCTTGGCGCAGACGCTGCACTCGTAGGGCTTGAGGCCGGTGTGTGTCTTCATGTGCTCGGTCAGGTGGTGCTTCATCTTGAACTTTTTGTTGCACACGGGGCAGTCAAAAGGTCGCAGGTTGAGATGCATGTTCACGTGCCTGTCCCGCATACTCTTATGCGAGAAAGCCTTCCCACAGTGGCACAGAAAGATCTTATTCCCGTCGCCACTGCCCGTCCCTCCGGAGGTCCCACCAGTGCCACTTGGCACACCCAGGCCCACGGCAGAGGTGGCTCCCAGGGTCACTGCCCCGTGTTCCGCTGGGTTCCCGGGTGGTTGGCCCGGAGCCTGTGAGGAGGAGGAAGAGGAGGACGGGAAAACCAAGATCTGGTTGCCCTGCATGTCCAAAGGAAGGAGGGGTCGAGGAGGATGGGTGGGGGCATAGGACGAAGGGGTGGGTCCTGCTGAGTCGTCGAGCCCTGCCGCAGGCCCCCCACCCTCATAGGGACCAAAGTCATCGGAGGACTCACAGAAGTTGACCTGCTCCTCCCCCTTGTCTGGAGGTTCCGTCAGGGTCCTGACGTCACTGATGCTGAGGGTGGCCTCAGGCTCTGCCCCCGCTCGAACCCCAGAGCCACCCCCCAGTTCTTCATCCTCATCGTCCTCACAAGTCAACACCAGGTCTTCCTCCTCTTCCTCATCCTCTAGATCTGGGTCTTGGGGAACCAGAGGTGCTGGCACAGGGCAATTTCTACCTCGCTTCACATACACCCAGTGTTTCTGTGGCACCGCGCTGGCGGCGGGCACACAGGTAGGCCTCCGGAGCCCAGCCCCAGGGACCACTGCCCCTCTCCCATCCCCACCATCATCACACAGCTCATCTGCCTCCAGCAACAACTTCCCTGAGGTGGAGCCCTCACTGCCAACCACAGGGGCTGGGAACACAGGGCCACCACCTCTGCGCTCCCCACTGCCCACTGCAGAAGCTGCAAATGCCTCTTGGGAGGAAGAGGAGAAATCAGTGGACTCCCGGGGGCTAAAGTAGTTGCTGCTGCTGGGAGACTGATTCTCACTGGCCCTGCTGGAGGCATGGGATCGTACAGACCCCAGGGTGGCAGAGGCTACTGTGCCCCCGGTCCCTGATGGGACGCTCGGACCTGGGACAGTGACAGAAGGGGCTGCAGCAGTAGTGACAGTGGTGGTGGCTGAGGACCGGCCCTCACGGAGGAGTTCAGTGCACTTGTCCACAATGTGCCACATCTGGAGCACAGATCCCACTGTGAGGAAATTAACAATGTCAGCAGCAGCCATGCTGAGGCGGCCTGTGTAAGCTGAGGCAAGGACAGTCTCAAATGCACCGGGGTCCATGACGCTGGGCAGTGAGATGGAGGTCATGCCTTTGAGTAGGACCTGGTCGTGGAAGTACGGAGAAGACGCAGCCAGGACCGCCCGATGAGCCCGAAACTCCCGTCCCTGCACTCGGATGGACACATCGCACAGCTGGCCCTGCAGCCGCTGCTGGTTAAGAGACTCTAGGAGGGCACTGGTCACCTCGGGGAAAGACACGTGTACCACTGCAGCTGCTGGGAGGGGCAGTGGCGGTGGAGCCAGTGACAGAGGCAGTGGGAGTGCCGCCCCACCAGGCGACAGAGGAGATGGCTCCATGTTGTGGAGGGAGGAGATACCCCCCCAGCCACAGGAACGCAGGAAAGAGGAGGGCGGCCGGGGGGGTCTCTGAGGAGATTAAAAAAAAAAAAAAGAATGACGACATTTTGAAAAGACACAGCCCATTACAATACAAAAACATTCGTGCCAGTCTTAACACCCCATAACCCTGGGATCAGGTGGGTCCTTCTCAACCCCACGGGACAGTTAAGGAAACTGAGGCTCAGAAAAGTAAATTAACCAAGAACATAGAGCCATTAAATGGCAGCGCTAGTAAAAGAGGGTCATCCAGGGCCGGACGTGGTGGCGCACGCCTTTAATCCCAGCACTCGGGAGGCAGAGGCAAGCGGATCTCTGTGAGTTCAAGGCCAGCCTGGTCTTCATAGTGAGTCCCAGGACAGGTGGGGCTACAGGGAGACCCTGTCTCAAAAAGACCAAAAAAAATAAATAAATAAAGAGGGCGATCCAGCTCCAAATGCAGTGCTCTTTCTTTGAAAGGGTCTAAGGGGCTCTGGGGGATGAGTATCTTCCCTTGGAATTAACCCTATTTCCTTGAGAGCCTCACTTTCAAAAATTCACCTCTTTGGGGTTTTGTACCCTTTTCGGGGAGGGAGGGGTAGGTCTGCTCCCCTACTGAAGCCAACCGTGATCCCAAGCGCCCCAGCTTACAGACAGGGCCCCCCAACTCCAACCAATCCTAGCCCCGCCCCCGCCAAGACCCTCCCCGACTCCGCCCCCTGGGTCCTTCCCACTCCGCCCCGTGCCTGCCCCCGCCCCCCCGAACCCCGCCCTCCCTGCTCCGCCCCAAGCTCTCCCTCGAGCGCTTCCCCCGACCGGGGGACGCCCCCCATCCCCCCGCGTCCCCACTTACCAGGCCGCGCACCCCCGGGCCCCCCCGCCCTCACTCGGCGACCAGAGCCGCAGCCCGGGCCCCTCCCGCCGCCATCTTGCGCCGACTCCCTCCGCCCTCCGCCTCCGCTCCGCCTCCCGGGCCGGTGGCTTTAAAGGCACAGGCCCGCACCCCGCCCGTGCAGCTGGGCGGCACTCTGCCGACACAGCCACTTCTCCTTTAAAGAAGCGTCCGCGCATTCCACCTTAAAGGTGCCAGGTCCCCTCTGCCGCGGAGGACTCAGGGCTAGATTTGGCCGAAGCCTGTATTCCCCTTTAATTCTCCAGGCCGGCCTTTTCCCACTGAAGCTAGGTACTGGTTAGCGCTCCCCAGGCTCCGCCCTTGAGCTGTGGGCCACCCACGGGCTTGCGGGACCCGAGTCGGGTCCCAGCGTAGGACAGCCCCAGAAGCCCCGCCCCCTTTCTCTGGGCCTGGATTGGTCAAATAGCCTGGAGTAAACCCCTGATTGGCCTTTTCGCTCACAGCGCTCTGAGTGAGAAAGTAAAGCTTCTTATGAAGGCTGAAGCCTAACAGAAGGCTCCAGGAAGGGTGAGGGTGTGGGGAGTGTGGGAAAGCCAAGCTGACCCCAGGAGACAGCTGATGCCAGGGGTGACAGCAGGACGGGAAAAGATGTGGGGGCTGGAAGGGGCTCAGCGGTCCAGAGCCCTAGCTGCCCCTTGCAGAGCACACGGGTTCAGTTCCCAGCACCCACAGGGCAGCTAACAACCGTCTGCATCTCCAGTTCCAGGGGATCCGACGACTTCTTCTGACCTCTGCAGGCACTACACACAGTCCACTTACATACATGCAGACAAAAACGCTTATACACAGGAAAATAAATAATTTTAAAAAGACAAGAAAACAATAAGAAAAGAATTTTATTGTTTATTGTGTCTGTGTAAAACTTAAAACTTTTGATTTTTTTCAAAAGAAACACCACCAAAATGGGATTAGCTCAGTCCATCCTTGCGGCAAACGCTATCCCCAAAACCTGGCCCCAGGAGGGGGACTCTAATCAGAGTCTGAGAGCACGATGATCTCCTCGGGGTCGCACTGTGTGGCCACACTCATCTGCAGGGAAAGGAGTAAGAGGGGAATCAGGGGGACCAGATAGAGGGACTCGGACCAGAGAGAGAGGCAGACCCCGAGAGACATCAGCGTTAAGAGCACTGGCTGCCCTTGCAGGGAGGGGCCTGAGGTTCAGTTCCCAGCACCCACATGGTAGCTAACAACTGTCCCTAGCTCCAGTTCCAGGGGACCCAATGCCCTCTTCTGGTCTCAATGGGCATTGCAAGACATGGGTGCACTTATGTACAAGCAGGCCAAACACTCAGATAAAATAAAAAAATCAAAAAAATGTAAAAACTAGGTTGGAGGAAAAAGAGAAATGTGGCAGGTGCAATGTTCACAAAGGAGACAGGTAAATAGAATGAGCTGTCCCGGAAAACACAGCCTCCCCTCTTACCTTATAAGTACAAGGCAGGGGAGGTTGAGATTGGGGGATGTGGGCTATCAGGGCTGGAGAAGGGCTGCAGAGGGAGCTGGTCACCAGTGCATGGCTGGGAGAGTCCACCCTTGTGGAGGAATCAGCAACTGGAGCCATGGAAGCCATGGGGGAGGATGGACTAGGCGGGGGGTCAATCTTCTTCCTATTCTGCTCGGCCATTTGCTTTTCACCATAGCTGAGGACAGAAGATAAATGGAGCGGGAGGAGCCTGAGGCTGCCAGGAGCACTCAGTCCCTCAACACTCCTCCCAGAAGGGCCACTGCATCCCTCCTTGCCTGCTTCTTCCTCCCGCTTTTACCTGTCTCCTAATGGTCCCGATCCTGATTGCTTCTTCTCCTTCCGAGATTTCTTGCAGGGGGGACTGGAATCTCGCCAGGTGTGAGGAGAGACACCCCCATTGAAGGATGTGGAGGTGACTGTAGCTGCCCCATTTTCCAACACCGTGGGGAGGGAATCTTCTGGCTGCTTCCTGAAAGAGGAAACGTCCCTTTCCTCAGGGGAAGGGGTGGCATCCACAGGCAAGGCTTCGATCTCCAGCTCAAAGAGCTGGGACGTGGGACTCTCCCCCTCCAAGGGGAACTCTTCAAGCTGTTCTCCACTGCTTCCTGCATCAATGCTGGCAGGTGCAGGGGGCTCTTCCAGAGAAGCTGGTGTCACGGTCAGCCCTTTGTTCCGAGGTTCCCCTGAAGACCTAAGCCCCATTCTAGCTTCTGAGTTCTTTTTAGTGGAAATGTGTGATGGGGACATGGAGCTCTTATTTCCTTCATTATCTGGGAAAAAAGAGAGGAGTGGCTTGAGGATGGGGAAGGGAAAGGGTGCTGCTGCAAACTATGAATAAGAGGAGGAAAGACAGGCTGGAGAGAGAGCTTGTCAGTTAAGAGCACTGACTGCTCTTGCAGAGGACCCAGGTTCAATTCCCAGCACCCACATGGTGGCTAACAACCATCTTAACTCCAGTTCCAGGGGATCTGGCACCCTCTTCTGACCTCTTCGGGCATTGCATGGCACAGGTGCACTTACACAGATGCAGGCAGAACACACACACTCATAAAAAAAAAAAACAAAAAAAACAGCAGGCATGGTGGCACACGCCTTTAATCCCAGCACTGGGAGGCAGTGGCAGGGAGATCTCTGTGAGTGAGTTCAAGGCCAGCCTGGTCTACATAGTGAGTTCCAGGGCAGCTGGGGCTACAGGGAGACCCTGTCTCAAAACAATAACAACAAAAAAGAAAATACGTTTCAACAAATAGCTCATGCCCAACAGAATAGAAAACCCAAGGAGAATGTTCCTCTGACATACCTCCTCTCTCTTCCTCCTCTTCATCACCCCCCTGACCTTCCTGCAACTGTTCTAGATCCTCATCATCTTCAGAGTCTGTGGTCTCTTCTTCGTCTTCCTCTTCTTCCTCTTCATCCTCTTCCTCCTCCTCCTCCTCCTCCTCCTCCTCACTTCCCTCGTCCTCTTCATCATCAGTCTCAGCTTTGGAGGTAGTAGGGCACTCCTGGGATGCCACTCCACTGGGACCCTGGGAGACAGAGGAATCGCCTGTAAGGACTCCTTTGCCCCAGAGTTTTGGGTAGTACTGGGAATCAAACTTAGGGCCTCACGAATGCCAGGCAAGTGCCCCACCACCTCTAGCCCCTAACATTAATTTGGTTCTTGTACTCCTTCTGTACACTCTCCACCCATCACCCTGGAATCCCTGGTGCCCACTACAGGGGGAGACAAGGTCTCTCTAGTGGGTGTTACCCCTTCCACACCTCACCAGAATCCAAGGAAGCTTTAGGGGAGCCTGAGGAGTAGGAAGAGATGCGCTGGAGCCGCGCTCGTCTCTTCTGTCTCTCGCCCTCCTCACTTCTGTCTTGCAACATTGCATATTTGGAGATGACCTCATCCAGCCGGCTCATGGCCAAGCTCCGGTTTTCCCGAAGGCGGCGGGCCAATGTGGGATCTGATAGTGCAGGGTCAATGCCTGTGTGGGAAAATAGGGTTAGAGGGCTCAGCCCAAACCCTAGAAGAGTCTCTAACGCATGACCCACTAACTCCCTACCTGGCCTATAGTCATCTGTGAGATGGCAGCCAAAGTTGTAGATGAGATCAAGGTGGCGACGTTCCTGTAACCTGACGCCCACATCCCGGAAGGCATCCTGAGCCATGAGCTGAAGCTGCTGGCGAGGAAGGCCAAGACTGTGCCGGGTCGCTGCCTTCTCCACAGCCCGCAACACATCTCCATAGTCGGGAAAGGTATCAGGGCCTGGCTTGTTGATGAGCCGCTCGATGCGCCTGTTGACCTCTGGGTAACGGGTACCCCGATAGGGGATGCGCTGCTCAATGACCCGTCCAGTCAGTGAAGAGCAGTCCTTCAACTCACACAGCCGCACAAAGAGGCGGATCAGCTTCCGCTTCAAACGGGCCTCCTGAAGATATGTAGAGTCTGGATTGTCAAGTTCTGACAGGTCCAGCTCCTTCTCCTGAAGCCGTCGGATCTCTGTCACATACAGTGCCAGCAGTTGCTCCAAGCGCTGGATCTGCCTCCGGGAACCACGTGTCCTTGAAGCCTCTGAGGCAGTGGTTTCAGCATTTGTGGGGTCTGAGGGGGGATCTGTGGGAGGGTTAGTCTCAGAGGGTTCACTGGAAGTGGAGGCTGCAGGGGCCAGGTTCAACTTCTTCTTTGCTGAGTGGGCTTTAAGAACAGTGAGGAGCTCATTGATGTAGACATAGAGTTTAGCTGGTCGGTTCCGGGCCCGAGACAGGACCCTGGAGAGGATGTTGCAGAACTCAGCTGAGGCCAGAAACAGAGATTGGGCACGCTGCTGCTGTTTATAGAGGAACGGGACCACTTCAGGGTGGTCTGATGTCTGTGTCTTACACAGTTCAAGGAACTGGAGGGTTCAGGGGAAAGGAGGAGGAGAGAGAGAGATGGGGTTAGTGGACAGGCCAGGACAACAGAGCCAATCAGCCCTTCCTCCCTCCCCAAAGCTCACCTCTTCAAACAGCTTCTCATTCTCCAACTTGTAGCATTTCTTACCACCTGAGTTACCGGTTCCTCCCACCCCATGGGGCTCAGAGGGGCCAGGGGTTTCAGGCCCTGGTGAGGGTGGACTGGAGGCGGGGTGGGAGGGCCCTGGCTGAGCAGCTGCTTCATCTTCATCGTCATCATCCAGCACAATGATGCTGTCATCGGTGGCCATGGAAGATCAAATCCCCCTGAAGGAAGAAGTGTTGGAAATGTCAGAATTCCTGCTGCAAGGGCATGATGGGGGTCCCTCTCCGGAAAGGTCCCTTCCAGCATAACCCCACCCCTTCAGTTTACATCTTTTTTTTTTCTATTACCTTTGGTTTGGCATAGCTTAGTTCTGCCCAACTGTGACTTCACTGCCTATCTTCAGCAATTACCAGTTTTATGCGGTTCTGGGGGACTCTTAAGTCCTGACTCTGAACTCCACCCCTGAGTCCATTTCCGGTCTTTCAGTTGCGTTTCCCCACTGTCACAGTTGGCAAGTTAGTTGCTATGCTCTGTGCCAGTTCCCACACTGCACTCTCAAGTTCCGGGGCGCATACCACCCTCCCTGTCAATCACGTTTGCCCCCTCTCGCCCTCCAGCAGGACGATGCCCCGTCTCCCGAGTGATCCCTGACACCAACTCCCAGACTCGCTCTCCTCTCTTATATCTTCCGTTGGATTCCCCCATCCTGGGGACTTTAGATGGAGGCTTGCTGCCCTCGGGTCCCCTCCTTATCCCGGCACCCCGATCCCCCCCCATTCTCCCGGTGACTTGTAACCGACGGGGCGGCCCCTCACCGGACTCTCCCGGTTTTCTCTCGGTTTTCTCCCAGCCCCCGGTCCGGCCAGTCTTCCCGCCAAGTGCCCCCTCCCCCGTAGCGCTGTCCTAGCCTGCCCCACTCCCCTTCAGGGCCGGCGAGGTACCACACAGCGTGCCCCCTCAGAAGCGGCACCTGGGTTCCGTCAACCCCTCGACAACACCGCCCCCGCCGACCTGAGGCGCCGACCCCGCCCCCACCTCAGAAACGGTCTCTCGAGGCGACCCTCTCCGCTGATCACAGAACCTCGCATGGTTCCCTCCGCCTATCTTCCCCCTCCCACCGCAGGCCCCACTACGGACCGGAAGTCACCGAGTTTCCGCCTACTGCACCTGAGGGCGGCCATATTGCTGCACGGAACACAGACGCGCCCGCGACCGGAAGTGGCGACAGGCCAGTCCGCCTGAGCGGCGGCTGTGACCTCTGACCCCAGAAAGGGGCGGTCCTTGGGGCACGCCATGTTGCCGTTCCGCAACCGGCTTGTTCAGGACTCCTGCGGCCAGGCTCGGGAACTCTTTTCACCTGGAGCTTCAGACGCTCCGCCAAGGGAGAAACTTCATGCCTCGGACTCTCACCCCTCCTCCCTCGCGCCAATTGGTCGCGAGCTGGGCGGACCCAGCCACCTGGCCTAGGAGGGGAAGGGTGACCTAGGAGCTGGGCTCTCTGCAGCTGTGCAGGGCTTCAAGAGGATGGGATAAAAGCTTGCCCTGCATCCCTCTCTCCCAGGTCTCCATGTCCACCGCCTGGTCACCTGCGCTCGCCCCTTCCCTTTCAGGCCGGCGCGCTTCTTGTCTCTGTCCAGCAGCTGCCTCTGCTATCAGATGCAACACCTCCCTGTGCAGAATCACACCCATGCATACAAATGAGCACAGCGCGCGGCACAAGTGGAGTATTGTTATTATCGCTGCTCCAGCTCCACCACCGAGCCAGCTGCTGGGGGACTGTGGCGCTCCGTTCTTCTCCGAGGCTTGTACTGACCCAGGGCCGGGCGTCATCGGTGGGGTTTGCAGGGCTGGCAATGGGGGTGCGGGATAACCCGGAGCGGTCTTGAAGAGAGGCTGTGCTGGGAGACCACACGAAGCTCGTAAAATCCCGCGGATCGTCTCCTCCTGGAGAGCTGCGGAGAGAAGGAAAGGGAGGAGTCGACAGTGAGCCCGCCCAGCCTGGGGTAGGGAGGCTCCCCGAGGCCGGGTGCTCAGATGAGTGGAGATGCTCCGTCCACCTCCTGCATCCTGCATTCCACAAGTGGTGGGCATCCGGTCTATCTGCCGGACCAACAAGCCCTTATAGTCTCGTGGCTCCCAGAGCCTCGGAACCTCAAACTCGTATTGAAGAACCCCATACCGCTTCTAACCAGTTACCTAAAGTTTACAGCATTCAAACTGGGGAAAAGGAAAACTCTCCAAAGGGTTGAGAAAGAAGGGACTTAATTTCTAGATCTAAAATGCCTGACATAAAGAGTCCCCTTCTTTTTACAATAAACTTTCTTCCTCTTTTTTTTTTTTTTAAAGGGAGGGTGCATTAGGAACTTGCTAACTTATAAACTAAAAAAAAATATTTAAAATTGGCCTGGCGTGGTGGCGCACGCCTTTAATCACAGCCCACGGGAGGCAGAGGCAGGCGGATCTCTTTGAGTTCAAGGCCAGCCTGGTCTACATAGTTGAGTTCCAGAACAGCTGGGGCTACAGGGAGACCCTGTCTCAAAAAGAAAAAAAAAAAAAAATTTTTTTTTTTAAATTTTAAAAAAGTATAATTCTCAATCCCAATCCCTGAAGGCTCGGAGATGACTCAGCTGGATAAGGCATTTGCTACTAACTCCAGTTTCAGGGGATCTAATGTTCTCTTCAAACCTCCGAAGCACTGCATCCAAGTGGTGCATTTACATACATGTACACAAAACGCTTGTAAAATAAAAAAAATTAAAACTGGAGGAAAAAGACAAAACACCCTGCGGTATGTTCCATGCTCTTTTGTTTCGGTTTGTTTCGGTTTGGGTTGGTTCGCTTTGGTTTGGTTTGGGACAAGGTCCTAAGAGTAGCCTGGGCTGGCCTGAAACTCTTAAGTGACTTTGAATTTCTGATCCTCCTGTCTTCATCTCTTAAACTGATGGGATTATAGAGGGAATATGGAAGAAGAGGAGGCAGAAAGGATGTAAGAGCTGGAAGATGGGGAGGAGTGCTGTGAAATACTGCCTTCCGGACATGACACAGCCTTTGAACTCAAAACTCAAAAGCTGTGGCTACCTACTAAAGAACTCACCGGATGGGGGTGTGTCCACAGCCCCGGAAGGGGAGGGGCTATTCTCCTGGTTACAGTTGTGGGGAAGGGCTGAAGAGGATGACTCAGCAGTTTGGAGCACCCTGTGGGCGGACGACTGTGGTTCAGTTCCCAGCATGGTAGCTGACTGTTGTCCATAACTCCAGTTCCAGGGGATCTGATGCCTTTTTCTGGCCTCTTTGGGAATTGCATGGCACTGGTGCACTTGCATACATGCAGGCAAAGCACACATACACATAAAATAAATATAAAACAGTTGGGGGAGAAGTCATTTATCAGTACCAGGAGTCACTGGTAATAGAAGTTAACTTTTTTTTTTTAATGTGTATGAGTATTTTGCCTGCATAGAAGTGCAACCATGTCATTCAGTGCCCAAAGAGGCCAGAAAAAGGTGTCACATCCCCTGGAACTTGAATTATGAATTGGCCATTAGCTGTTAGCTGCCACATGGGCACTGGGAACTGAACCTGGGTCCTCTTCAAGAGAAGCCAGCACTGTAAACCACTGTGCCACCTCTCGAGCCCTGAGAAGCTGAATTCTTTTATTATTATTATTTTTTTTTTTTTCTGTCTTTTTGAGACAGGGTCTCTCTGCAGCCCCACCTGGCTGGAACTCACTATGTAGACCAGGCTGACCTTGAACTTACAGAGATCTGCCTGCCTTTGCCTCCCAAATGCTGGGATTAAAGGCATGCACTACCACATCTGGCTGAATTCTTTTTTATATATATTTTATTTATTTATTTTTATTTTTGGTCTTTTTTGAGACAGGGTCTCCCTGTAGCCCCAGCTGTCCTGGAGCTCACTATGTAGACCAGGCTGGTGTGTATGAGTGTATTGCTTGTATGTACTTAAGTGCACCTGTGTCATACAATCCCTGTGGAGGTCAGAAGATGCTGTGGGATTCCCCTAGAACTGGAGTTACAGACAGTTGTTAGCTACCATGTGGGTGCTGGGAATCAAACCTGGGTCCTCTCTGTAAGAGCCCCAAGAAGTTTTTTTTGTTTGTGGTTTTTTTGTTTTGTTTTGTTTTTGGTCTTTTTGAGTCTCTCTGTAGCCCCAGCTGTCCTAGAACTCACTATGTAGACCATGCTGGTCTTGAACTCACAGAGATCTTCCTGCCTCTGCCTCCCAAGTGCTGAGACCAAAGGCATGCACCACCACCACGCCTGGCTATTATTTTTATTTTATGTGTATGAATGCATTGCCTATATGTATGTAAGTGCATCTATGTCATGCAATGCCCATGGAGGTCAGAAGAGGGTGTTGAATCCCCTGGAACTGGAGTTATGGGCAGTTGTTGGCTGCCATGTGGGTGCTAGGTACCAAACCTGGGTCCTCTGCAAGAGCAGCTTCATTACTTTTATTTTATGTGTATGAGTGTATTGACTGCATGTGTGTAAGTGCACCTGTGTCATGCAATGCCTGCCGAGGTCAGAAGAAGGCACTGAATCCCCTGGGTGCTAGGAATCGAACCCAGGTCCTCTGTGAGAGCAGTCAGTGCTCTTAACCACTGAATCATCTCTCTAGCCCTGTCAGTAAATATTTTTAAAATCCTCAGCATCCTTAGGTTGAGGGAAATGCAATTAAAACCACAAGTAGATATACTCCATGCCTTTTCCACATTTTACCTTCCCCTGTCCAGACCTCTTCCTCTCCTTTCTACATTCAAGTCCTGTATGGGCACACACACACACACACACACACACACACACACACACTAATAAAAAGTGGGGGTTGGAGAGATGGCTCAGCAGTTAAGAGCATTAACTGCTCTTGCAAAGGACTCAGGTTTGATTCCCAGCACCCACATGGCAGCTTACAACTGTCTGTAACTCCAGTTCCAGGGGACTCATCTGACTTCCGTGGGCATGACACAGGTGCACACATGCAGGCAATACACTCATACACATAAAGCAAAAATAATAATAAAATGGTTTTAAAAGTGCCTCTTTCAAGCCGGGTGTGGTGGTGCACGCCTTTAATCCCAGCACTCGGGAGGCAGAGGCAGGCAGATCTCTGTGAGTTCGAGGCTAGCTTGGCCTACACCCCACGTTCCAGGCCAGCTGGAGCTACAGGGAGATCATGTCTCAAAAAATAAGCTTTGGGGGATCCAGGAGGCATTGGAGGCTAAGGGAAGAATGACTATGACAGAAATACATCATATGCATATATGACATTCTCAAAAAATAATATATATACAGTACATACACATATATACATGCATCTATATATACATATACATCTCTATAAACATGTATACAATCTTTATGTATATGTATATATGTATATACACAGAAATATATAGAAAGAGTCAGGGAGAGAGAAAGGGACGGGGAGAATGTTAGGAGACTGGAGAGATAACTCAGCAGTTAAAAGCACTTTCTATGCTTTTTTTTTTTTTGTCCCAGGGTCTCCCTGTAGCCCCAGCTGGCCTGAAACTCCCTATGTAGACCAGGCTGGCCTCAAACTCACAGAGATCCACTTACGTCTGCTTCCCAAGTGCTGGGATTAAAGGCGTGCACCACCATGCCTGGCTAGCACTTTCTATTCTCTTCTTGCAGAGGACCTGAGTTCAGTTCCCAGAACCCAACTCAGGTGGGTCCACCTCCTGTAACTCCAACTCCAGGGGATCTGACACCTGACCTGCATAGAGCCTACACTCATGTGCACATGGGCATACACAGATACACATTACTAAAAATAAAAATAATCTTAAAAAAGAAATCTTTTATTTTAGGGTTACCTCTTCATAGGGGGGAATGTTGGAGGGGAGGGAGTAGGCATGGATTCGATCAAAACATCTTATATGTATGTATGAAATTCTCAATAAAGTTTTTGTTAAAGAAAATATGAAAGTTTGAAAAAAATCTTTAAAAAAGTTAGGAACTGGAAAGATGGCTTGGCGATTAAGAGTTCTAGTTCACTGTTCTATGAAAGGACTGGAGATTGGTTCCCAGCATCCACAGGGCGGCACACAGATGCCTGTAACTAACTCCAAGGAATCTGACACCCTCTCCTCTGTGGGCACCTCTGTGGCCATGCTAGCACACACACACACACACACACAAATAAATATTGTGTATGTGTGTTCTTGTGTAAATTTTACCATATGTGTGCAAGGTACCCACAAAGGCCAGATCCCCTGGAGCTGAAATTATACACAGTTGTGAACCACTGCCTGCCTTTGCCTCCTGAGTGCTGGGATTAAAGGTGTGCACCACCAGGACCCGCCTTAAAATAAATCTTTTTAAAAAGAGCCAGGAATGGTGGCACATGCTTTTAATCCCAGCACTCAGGAGGCAGAGGCAGGCAGATCTCCATGAGTTATAGGCCAGCCTGGTCTACATAGTGATTTAAGGGCTACTCATTAGTGAGACCCTGTCTCAGAGTTTTAGTACTCTGGAGGCAGAAGCAGGAGGGTAACTACTAGTCTGGTCTATACTGCCAGATCTTGGCTAGACAGGGATACATACATAAGTACAGTACACTTAACATGGATACTTTAGTGTGCTTGCTAGCCTAAGCTGCCCACCCCCACACCCCTATTTCTCTGATGTCTCACCTCTGTGGCAAGAAGAGGAGTTCTATGGGGAAGCAATCACAGTTCCACCTCCTCCTCCTCCTGAGGAGCCAGTCCCTAAACTTCGCCCATGGCCGCAGCCATAGCAGTTTGTAGGCAGCCTCCAGCACCAGCAAAGTCAGGAAGAGGACCAGGAAGGAGAAAAAAAACCTTGTCCAAGTTGCATCACAGGGGTCCCCTGGGAGGAATGGGACCCTGGGCAAACGCCAGAAACATATTACCTTCGCCCATACTGCCCTCCTCCTCTGCCATCTTCACCCCTGGCCAGGCAGCTGGCTGGCTCAACACTGGGATGGAAGGCTTGGCTCAGCGCTGCCAGGATTAAGAGGCATGGCTGTGGTGAGCTTGCACCTGCCAGGCTGACCCTAATTCCAGTATCAAAGGATGAAGGACAGAAAGGCATCTGAGCTTTGGAGATACTTTATTTATCTAGTTGTTTTGTTTTGTTTGGAACAGGGTCTCCCTGTAGCCCCATCTGGCCTAGAACTTGCTGACCTCAGTCTCACAGATATCTGCCTGCTGCTGCCTCCTGAATGCTGGGATTAAAGGTGTGTGCCCCAGACCTGGATGGTTATGTTGTGAGACAGGGTCTCACAACAAACCCCAGCTAGCCCAGATCTCTCTGTGTAGATCATCCCAGGCTGGCCTTGATCCCACAGTGATCCACCTTGTGTCTGAGTGCCGGGATTAAAGGCATGTGCCACCACATTTGGTTATTTCTTGTTTTTTAAATTGTGTGTGTGTGTACAGGTGTGCATGTAACACGGTGTGTGCAAAGGTCAGAGGACAACTTTGTGGAGTCATTTCTCTCCTTCCACCTTTTTGTGGGTCCCAGGTATTAAAGTCAGGGTGTCATCCTCACCAGCACAGAGACAATTGTTTAAGCACCCCGTGTGTGTGAAAGATCACACTGTAAGATCCCTAAACTCTATTCAGCTTTATCACATGTAATTCTGTGACTTGGAAACAGTAGGCCCATCACGGACACATACACTGTAACTGCTGATTATTCCTAGTTTCTAGACTCAGGAGTTTGCCTTGGGCCCCTCCTGATAGAGGGGAAAGTGGAAAGTCTCATCCTGTAGCTAGTGGGCAGGATGAGGTGATCTCCCCTAACACAGGGAGTGAAAGAGGGGAAGGGCCCTCTAGTCCATGCAGAATAGTTTCTTTTTGCCCTTGTTTTTGCAGATGACTCCAGGATGGGACACTAAAATCTAGCCTGAAATCCCAGCACTCAGGAGGCTGAGGCAGGAAGGTTGCTAAGAGCTCGAGGTCAGTCTAGACTACATAGCTGAGACCTTGTCTTTAAAATAAACAGCCAGGTGTGTGGTGATATACACCCTTTTATCCCAGCACTCAGGAGACAGAGGAAGGCAGATCTCTGGGATTGAGGCCAGCCTGGTCAACATAGCGACTTCCAGGACAGCTGTAGCTATAGGGAGACCCTGTCTCAAATAGAAAAAAGACAACAATAAAATAAGTAAATAAATGAAAATAATATAAAATGATGTCTAGAGCAATTTTAATTGGACTGCTGGAGCAGAAGAAGTTTATAAGGTGGGCTGTGATTGGTCAGATGTCAAGGGTGTGTGCCTGGCCCTTGATTTTTAGGCCACCAAAGGAGGGAGATTTGTGTCCCAATTGAGATCTGAGTTGGTGAGAAGCAAGCTAGAGGGGGCTGTGCTTGGGACACGCGGCTTTTGCTCGGTAGGTGGCGTACAGGGCATCTCTGGTATCAAGAGGCTGGCCACTAGAGACTTTGGAAGGCAGAAATTTTGTCTCACTCCTCCCCTCAATTCTGAGGAACCAGGGTAGGCTTGAGGCAGAATAGGAGGGGAACTTATGGGAACATGGGACAGGAAAGGTGATCCTGGAGTCTGAAGTCCCTCACCAGCCAAGAAATGAGAATTCCATCACAGTGAACATGTGCTTAAGACCTTTCTCCCATTCAGCTGGAAACCGGTAATTTTCCAGGAATCTGAAGAAACCCCTTATGCAAGCTTAGTGGCTCCTGGTTTTACTTTATCAGGGTCTAAGTTCATCCAAGGCACCTCCCAAAGCACCCTATAATCTAATGTATCAAAAACAGAGAAGGGAGGATGGGTATGGTGTATGCTGTCATTCCCCACCACACAGAATTCTGAGACCGGTAGGTCTCTGTGAACTCAAGGCTAGCCTGGTACACATCGTAACTTCCAGGCCAGCTAGTTATACAATGTGAGACCCTGTCTCAAGGAGACAGCAGTGGGGGTTGGGGAGAGAGAGGGAGACAGAGACAGAGAGAGACAGAGAAAGAGAGAGATAGTTTGGTGGATAAATGCTTGCTACCCAAGCATGAGGACCTGAGTTCAGACCCCCAGGACTCACATAAAAGCTGCTTATCACCACGGTGCTAAGGGTCAGAGACAGGTGGACCCCAGCGACTTGATGACCAGGCAACCTAGCCAAAACTTAGAGCTCCAGGTTAGGTGAGGGCCCTGATTTAAAGTATGAAGGTAAAGAGCGATAGAGGAAGATACCCAAAGTTAACCAGGAACACACACAGGTGAGTGCAGACACACAGGTACACATATGGGCATAAACCACACACACACACACACACACACACACACACCCCACAAAAGAGAGAGAAAAGGGGAAAAAGGGTTTCTTAGCAACCCTTGGGGATGTAATTTGAGAGCCACCAAAATGGCACATATAGCTTATGTTGAGACATTTAATCGTGACTCTCCATTGAGAAGCTCAGACCCACACTTGGGTAAGTCCAATTCTTTCCAAACATCTTTCTCTCCCTTAACCCCGTGCTTTAAAATGTATGTTAAGGCCGGGTGTGGTGGCACACGCCTTTAGTCCCAGCATGCAGGAGGTAGGGGCAGGTGGATCTCTGTGAGATCAAGGCCAGCCTGGTCTACACAGTGAGTTCTAGGTCAGCTATGGCTACAGGGAGACCCTGTCTCAAATAGACAAAGAAAAAATGTATGTTAAATATGTCTTTTAGGCTGGGTGTGGAGCACATGTTTAATCCCAACACTTGGGAGGCAGAGGCAGGTAGATCTCTGTGATATAGAGGCCAGGCTGGTTTACGTAGTGTGTTCCAGGCTGGCCTGAGCTATATAACGAGACTCTGTCTCAAAAAAACAAAAACAAATCTTTTAATATAGTTTGACTCAGGGCTGGAGAGATGGCTCAGCATTAAGAGTGCTTGTTGCTCTTAGAGAGAATCCAAGTTTGAATCTCAGCACCTATGACAGGTAGCTCACAATCACCTGTAACTCCAACTCCAGGAGATCCAATACCCTCTTCAGGTTGTCAGGCTTGGCAGTGAGCACCTTACCTGCTGAGCCATCTCACTGGCCCTGAACCTTGTCTTTGAGCCAGGTTGGCTCTTGTTTCTGCCGAGATGCATGTTCCGCCAGCTGGCCCAGAAACTTCTGTCTCCACCTACCAGCAGGCTGAGGGAATCCGGAGGTTATGGACACATGCCACGGCATCGGACTTTATTTCCTTTTTTAAACAGGGTCTCCCAGGAACTCCCTATGTAGACTGGGTTGGCCCTGGAACTCTTTTTTTATTGGCGTATATTCATTATACATAGTACTGGGCTTTTTTAAAAAAAATCTTTATATTTATTTGTTTGTTTTGAGGCAGAGTCTAAGTAGCCCTGGCTAGCCTAGAACTCACTATGCAGACCAAGCTGGCTGGGAACTCACAGAGATCTATCTGCCTGCTAGAGCCTCAGGAATGCTGGGCTTAAGGGAGTCTGTCACCAAGCCCAGCCCTGACCTTGAACTTCTGATCCTCTCCCTCTGCCTCCTGAGCTCACTACCCCTCTTGGTTATGCGGCTACTACTATTATTGTATGCAGATGATATCCCAGTTAACCTGAGATTAAAGAAAATAAGAGGCTACATTTTAAGTTCATTTTGCTTTTGTGTTTGGGATTGACTGATTTGTAGACAGCATTTCTCTGTATAGCCTTGGATGACCAGGGCCTCACTGTAGACCAGGCTGCCCTCAGACTTGTGGGGATCGTCTTACCTCTGATTTCTGACTGTTGGGAGAACAAGTGAACACCACCACACCTGTTTGTTGTTGTTGTTGTTGTTGTTGTTGTTTGTTTGGTCTCCTTTCATTATTGTTATTGTTGTTATTATTATTATTATCTTGAGATAGGGTCTCACTATTTTATCTAGCATGGCCTGGGTTCTACTTTCTTTTTTTTATTCAGTTCAAAATATTTTCTAATTTCTGTTGTTATTTTTCTTTGATCAGGGGTTATTTAGACACATGTTGCCTAACTTGCAAACATTTTCTCCCCCAAGACATCTTTTTGATATTGATCCTAATTTGTTACATGCAATTCAGTTATTGGTAGAAAACACACTTTTGAGGATTTCCATTATTTTGCATTGGTTGAGGTTTGCTCTATGGGCAAGAATGTGGTCTTTCTTGACCGATGCTGCATGTCCTCCTGAAAAGAATGTGTGTTCTGTTGTTTAAAATGCCCCTAACTGGGGGCTGGAGAGATGGCTCAGCGGTTAAGAACACTGGTTGTTCTTGCAGAAGACCCACGTTCAAATCCCAGCACTGACATGGCAGCTAACACCTGTCCCTAACTCCAGTTCCGGGGGATCTGATGACCTCTGCGGGCATTGCATGACATGTGTACACTTATGCACATGCAGGCAATACACTCATACACACAAAATAAAAATAATAAAAATAAAATCTTTTAAATGCCTCTAACTGAGAATTAGGTCAAATTCAATGATATCATGTTGGGGGCATCCAGTTTCTTGAGTTTTGTTGTTGTTTTGTTTTGTTTGAGACAGGGACTCACTATGTAGCCTTGGAGGACCTAGAATTGAATATGTAGACCAGGCTAGCCTTGAACTCACAGGAATCCACCACCCTGTCTGGAATGCTGAGATTAATGGTGTGTGACACCACTCTGGCTTTCTTAAGTTTTAGATTTTTTTTTTGTCTCTTTTGAGACAGGGTCTCCCTGTAGCCCCAGTTGGCCTGGAACTTGCTATGCTGGCCTTGAACTCACAGAAGTCTGTCTGCCTCTGCTTCCCTAATGTTGGGATTAAAGGCATGAGCCATCACACCCAGCAAGTTTTAGAAAATTTATTATTATGGCTGGAGAGATAGCTCAGCAGGTAAGAGCACTGGCTGTTCTTGAAGAGAACTTGGGTTCTGTTCCCAGCACCCACCTGGCAGCTAACAACTGTCTGAAACCCAGTTCCAGGGGGCCCAACACCTTCTTCTGGCCACTGTGGGCACTGCACAACACAGGTGCACATACATACATGCAGGCAGAACACACATACACATAAAATAAAAATAAATATTTTTAAAATTTATCTGTGTGTGTGTGTGTGTGTGTGTGTGTGTGTGTGTGTGTGTGTGAATGCAGGTGTGTGCCATGATGTGCTGCCTGTGCAGGTCAGAGGACAATTTTCTGGAGCCGGTCCTTTCCTTCCACCTTGTTGTAGAGAGGCTCTCTCTTGTCTCAGCTGCTCATCCTAAGCTAGCTGGTCAGAGAGCTTCCCGACTCTGCCTTTGGTTTCACTGACCAAGTGTTGGGATTTTGGAGGCGCCACAGCAAGGGTTCCAGAGATGGATTCTCAGCTCAGCTTGTGCAGCTGATGCTTTTACCCAGGGACCCATCTCTCCAGTCTTTTCTATTTTTAGGAAGAACACTTTCTGAGCCCACTGTGAGGGAGCAGGGGCTGGAGTAACTTGAGTGCTACCTCAGCAGAGCCCTTTCTGAGGATGCCCAGTCTCCAAAGGGAAGTGCAGGAGGGATGGAAATGAAACCCTTTCAAGGATGGCAGGTGCCTGCTGATTGCTTTAAACAGTTTCCAAGAGCACAAAACCTTTGCTAGGTCCCTTACTGATACAGAGTTGCCAGTAACTTAAAAACAAACAGACAAGCAAAACATACAGTTTTCCACAGAAGGGAAAAAGAAGTTTCTAACAATTTTTAATTTAATTTAATTTAATTTTATATTTTTATTTTATGTGTACGAATGTATTGTCTGCATGTATGTGAGTGCATCCATGTCCTGTGATGCCATGGAGGTCAGAAGAGGGCTTCGGATTCCCCTGGAACTGGAGTTAAGAACAGTTCATAGCCGCCATGTGAGTGCTGGGAATCGAATCCGGGTCCTCTGCAAGAGCAGTCAGTGCTCTTAACTGCTGAGCCATCTCTAGCCCCAGTTTCTAACCATTTTATAAGGAGAGCTTCACTAGGAAGCTTAGGGATGCTGGCCTGGGAGTTCAAGCCCTAGCTCTGTACTGCCTGCAACAGACAACTAATTGTTTCCTAGCCTTGAGTTTTCCCAGCCAGGCTCTGAAAAGGAGACTGGCTCATCAAAGGGATATGCTATTGCACAGTTACTATGTCAAGGTCAAGACATTGAAGAGAAGGGCTCAAAGGAGCTGGGGTAGAGTTTGGTCAGAAGAAAATTTCAGGGCTAGAGAGATGGCTCAGCGGTTAAGAGCACTGGCTGATCTTGCAGAGGACCTGGGTTCTATTCCCAGCAACTTTATGTTTAGCTGAGTTTTCTTTCTCTGTTGTCTCCTTAGAGTATCATCTGTCCCATCTATCATCTATCTATTACCTATCATCTATCTATCTATCTATCTATCTATCTATCTATCTATCTATCTATCTATCATCTATCATCCAAAGCAGGTGGATCTCTGTGAGTTCGAGGCCAGCCTGGTCTCCATAGTGAGTTCCAGGCTAGCTGGAGCTGCAGGGAGACCCTGTCTCAAAAAGACCAAAAAAAAATTTTTTTTAAGTATTTATTTTAAACTTTCTGAATGTATTTTGCCTGCATGTAAGTGTACCCATGCATGCAATGCCCAAAGAAGTCAGAAGAAAGCACTGGATTCCTTGTCCTCTGCGAGAGCAGCCAATACTCTTAACTGCTGAGCCATCTCTCCAGCCCCATAAATACCTGAAAATTTAAAAAGTGAGTACCTATTATTTCAATTGGACTAGTAAGAGCTACTTGATCATCTATCTATCTATCTATCATCTATCATCCATCTATCATCTATCTATCACCTATCATCCATCTATCTATCTATCTATCTTCATCATCATCATCATCTATCTATCATCTATCATCTATCTATCCATCTATCATCTATCTATCATCCATCTATCATCTATCTTCTATCTATCATCTATCATCCATCTATCTATCTGTCTGTCTATCTATCATCCATCTCTCTATCATCTATCCATCTATCATCTATCTATCTATCAATCATCTATCTATCTATCATCTATCTATCTATCTATCTATCTATCTATCTATCTATCTATCATCAATCATCTATCATCTGTTCATCTATCTTTCTGCCTGGGAGGAAGTGTGTGGCATAGCATGTCTGTGGAAGTCAGAAGACAGTTTGAGAGAGCTGATTATCTTTTTACACTATGCGGGGCCCAGGAGTCGAACTCAGGTTGTCAGGCTTGACAACAAGCCTGCTCACCATCTCACGATTTTTCACTATGTAGACCAGGCTGGCCTGGGACTCACAGAGATCTGCTTGCCTCTAGAATATGGATGTGTACCAACATGCCCTATCATATTCATTTTCATTCATTGTTTTGCAGTACTATGGACGGAACCTACAGCCCTGTGCATATTGGCAAATGCTCTTTCACGAGTCACATCCCCAGAGCCATGTGGATATGTTATTCTTACAAAAATAATAAGACAGCTGGGTATAGTGGCACGTGCCTTTAATCCTAGCACTTGGGAGGCAGAGGCCAGTGGATCTCTGTGAGTTCAAGGTCAGCTTGGTCTACATAGTGAGTTCCAGGCCAACTGGAGCTACAGGGAGACCTGTTTCAAAAAGACAAATAATAATAATAATAATAATAAATGGAAAGCATGTCAGAGTAGACATTGTACATGTCAAATAAAAAAGAAATGACTATTTAGAATTTATGGAAAATTACAAATCAATATGAAGAGGACAATCAGGAGGTCAAGAGTTAAGAGCACTTGCTGCTCTTTCAGAGGACCTACCTTCAGTTCCCATCACCCAGGTCACAACATGTCAGCTCAGAGCTGCAGTGATCCAGGGGAATCTGATCCCCTCTCTGTCCTCCACAGGCATCCACATGCTAGAGTACATATCCACACACAGACACACATATATACACATAATCCAAAACAAAATAAAATCTTTACAATAAGTAAAAAGGCAGGGGTGGGTAAAGAACAAGGACAAAGAGGCGAATTGAGCATGAATTCTCAAAATCTTTTTCTGAGATTCAACAGTGTCAGACAGAAGGAAACAGGATATTGGGAGGAGCTGTCAAGTCAACAGGGTGTGAGAAATGAAAACTTAACCCTGTGCCAGAAGCAAAAGTGAGACTTTAACCCAATTTGAATGTTGGTTTCTAATTCTCTCTCTCTCTCTCTCTCTCTCTCTCTCTCTCTCTCTCTCTCACACACACACACACACACACACATTCAGGCTTAGAACTCACTATCAGGCTGGCCTTGATCTCACAGACTCACAGAGATCTGTCTGCCTCTGCCTCCTGATTGCTGGGATTAAAGGTGTGCACCACCATGGCAGGATGATTATTGTTATTTGTTGTTGTTGTTATTATTATTATTAATTTATGTGTATGTGTGTCTGTCTCTGCTTGTGTACACCATGACAGTGCAGTGCCCTTGGAGGTCAGAAGAGTGTGTTGGGGGTTGGAGAGATGACTCAGTAGTTAAGAGCACTGGCTGCTCTTGCAGAGGAACTGGGTTCAATTCCCAACACCCACACAGTGGAGAAGAACTCTGTAAATATCCAGTTCCAGGAGATCCAACACCCTCTTCTTACCTCCACAGGCACTGCACAATACGGGTGCACTTACATGCGGGCAATACACTCATATACATAAACTAAAAACAAGTAAAATAGTTTAAAAAAAATAAAAAAGTAGAGGGTGTTTGGAGACCCTGGAGCTGGTTGTGAGCCATCTAATGTGGGTGCTAAGAACTGACTTCAGGTTCTCTGGGAGAATAGCAAGTGCTCTTAACCACTGAGCCATCTCTCCGGCCTCACCAAGGATAATGTATATCTAGTCAGTCACTTCCATCACGACTCTTGGCAATACTGGGGTGCATGGTACAAGCCACTCCCCCTAAAATATAAAAACGTATAAGAGCAAGAAACTCCCTGTGCTTGTGACTGAAGGAACTGAAGTCTTTCTCTCCTGCTTCAGGGCCTCCGCACCTTGCCACCAGTATACTGCTGCAACTCCTGATAAAGTGCTTGTCTGGAGCCATTTGTGCTCCTGTTCTAATGACATCTTTTTTGGGGGGTCTTTTTGAGACAGGGTCTCCCTGAAGCCCCAGCTGTCCTGGAAGTCACTATGTAGACCAGGCTGTCCTTGAACTCACAGAGGTCCGCCTGCCTCTGCCTCCTGAGTGCTGGGATTAAAGGCGTGCACCGCTACGCCTGGCCTAGGGGGTGTGTATGTGTGTGCATGTGGGCTCAGTCTTATGGGGGATAAGAAGAGGGTGTCAGATCCTCTGGAACTATTTATAGGTAGTTATGAGCTGCCTGGTGTTGGTGCTGGGAACTGAAGATAGGTCCTCTGCAAGAGCAGAGAGCGCTCCTCACTGCTCCAGCCCCAGAAGCAGCAGTTGTAAAGGAAAAGAAAGCAAACACGAGGTGAATTTGAGCCTGAACTGCCTCATACTGCTGGAGCATGGATAAACCCAGTAGCTGCCAGGCAGGGTGGCACAAGCCTTTAATCCCAGCACTCTTGAGGCAGAGGCAGGCGGACCTCTGTGAGTTCAAGACCAGACTGTCACTTGCTGCACAAGCCTGATTACCTGAGTTCAAACCCCAGAACCCAGGGTGGAAGATGAGAACTGGCTCTTCAAAACTGTCCTCTGATACGTGCCTGATACGTGCCTGACAGGGGAGATACCATAATCACGAAGGTAGTTTTCCCAGGGTGAGGCTTCTCCATTTCACTCCTGATACACTAACTGACCCTTGCCATTTCCCCAAATGTGGGACTCTTGACTACATAATTTGTGGTGGTGGGGACTGCGTTTGTGCTCTCTCCTTTAGAAGGAAAGAAAGAGCCAGAGAAAGAGCCAGTGTGGTGGTGCATGCCTTTAATCCCAGCACTTGTGAGGCAGAGGCAGGCCTGGTCTATCTAGTGAGTTCCAGGACAGATGGGGCTACAGGGAGACCGTGTCTCAAAAAGACAAAAAAACAAACAGAAGAAAGGGAGGGAGGGAGGGAGGGAGGGAATGAAAGAGAAAGAAAGAAAAGAAAGAAATGAAAGAAAGAAAGAAAGAAAGAAAGAAAGAAAGAAAGAAAGAGGAAAGAAAGAAAGGAAGGAAGAAACAGGGGCTGGTTAAGAGCACTCACAGCAGAGGACCCAGGTCCAACACCCAGCACCCACATGGCAGTTGACAACCCAGGTCCAGGGGATCTGATGCCCTCTTCTAACCTCCTCAGGCTTTGTACAGCACAGATGCACTATCCTCAGGCCTCTTGGGGTAAGTCTATAGCACAGCCCTCCGTGCCTTGACTCCCCAAGCCACATTCACCCTTCCATCTCCCCCACTGTTCTCTACTCCCAGTTTGGGACCTGCGCCATTCCTAGTCTTGGGGCCCCAGACACCTGGGGAACCAATACTGCTTCCTGATCCTTCTCACCCAGACCAACTTAGTGCCTTTCTTGGGCCCCAGGAGCACCGCTTCTGGTCCTGGCCCCGCCCTCACCTCTCTCTGCATCCCTGGACCTGCACCACCGGCTAACTCTCCTAGCCTGCACTCCTATCCTCAGGCCTCTTGGGGTAAGTCTATAGCGCAGCCCTCTGTGCCTTGACTCCCCAAGCCACATTCACCCTTCCGTCTCCCCCACTGTTCGCTACTCCCAGTTTGGGACCTGCGCCATCCCTAGACTTGAGGCCCCAGACACCGGGGGAACCAATACTGCTTCCAGACCCTTCTCACCCAGACCAACTTAGTGCCTTTCTTGGGCCCCAGGGGCACCGCTTCTGGACCTGGCCCCGCCCTCACCTCCCTCTACTTCCCTGGTCCTGCAACACCTGCCAGCCTCTTGCTGGGGCTGACAGCCTCTTTCTGGGGCTCCGAGGCTTACTTTTCCTCTCCCTGATCCTTTGCATCCAGTACAACCCAGCTACTCAATCCACTCCCTGGGCAATCTTGGGGCTTCTTCCCACCCCATCTGCCTTTGCATCCCTGCATGGCGTCGCCACAGCCAGGGTCTCAGGTCAGTGCCACCAAGTTCCTGAGGCCAAAAGCATTCTTAGAAGATTCCAGACCTAAGGAGAAAG